CCATCTAGTCCAGCATCCTGTTCTCATAGCGGCCAATCAGATGCCTATCGGAAGCCCAAAAGCAGGACCAGAGTACAACAGCACTTTCCAGACTCGCTGCCATTAAAAGGGGTCCAGATTCATCATCTACTGCACAGCCTTCACCTCGCCTATTTATTCCAACAGGACATGCGCATGAAAAATTGGGATATGCAAGGGAGGGATCCTACTCAATGGCAGAACACATGGTTTGAATGCAGGAGGGTCCAGGGTCAGTCCCTGCCAAACATCTTGGAGTTGGACTACAACTCCCATCAAGCACATGTTGCCTGGGACCCGAAGGAGCTGTAGACCAACACATCTGGAGAACAGGTCTGTTGCACACAACGCTGGCCTGAACAGCCTGATAAAGCAGCTTTTTGTCATTTCTGTGACTTAGTTATTCACCACTATCCAAGCTTATTCCAAGTGCCATATTTCTTTTAAGAGCAATCCTAGAATTGGAAGGGATCCCAAGGATCATGTAGCTCACCCTCCTGCAATACAGGAATAACAACTAAAGAATCCCTGACAGATGGCCATCCATCCTCTGTTTATAAGCCTCCAATGAAGGAGAGTCTACCACCTTCCAAGGTAGTTCTTTCCACTGTCAGACAGCTCTTGCGGTCAGGAAGTTCTTCCTAATGTTTTGTCAGAATCTCCTTTCTTGTCATTTGAATCCATCGGTTTGGGTCCTACCATGTGGAGCAGCGGAAAACAAGTTTGCTCCATCGGTTAAACCACAGAGCCTAGAAGGTCGGCGGTTTGAATCCCCGCAACGGGGTAAGCTCCCGTTGCTCGGTCCCTGCTCCTGCCAACCTAGCAGTTCGAAAGCACATCAAAGTGCAAGTAGATAAATAGGTACCGCTCCGGCAGGAAAGTAAACGGTGTTTCCGTGTGCTGCTGTGGTTCGCCAGAAGCAGCTTAATCATGACCCGGAAGCTGTATGCCGGCTCCCTCGGCCAATAAAGCGAGATGAGTGCCGCAACCCCAGAGTCGGCCACGACTGGACTAATGGTCACACCATTTCAAGTGGTGTGACTAAGAGAACATCACAACTCTATCCGTAAGCATCTGTGGTGAAGAAAAATGGCAACAGTAATAATCGAAAAGAAATTCCATGGCAGTGTTTGTGAAAAGGGGCAGTAGCCAAGTCTTGCCAGCTTGGCTCTGTTCCTTCTCTGGATTTAGCAGCTGTAGGAGCCTTTGTTAAGCACACAATGGACGCCAGTATCAGAATACTGTGTTATCTCAGAGTTTTCCAGATGTGCTGTATTACTGTGGGAGTCTGATAAAAGAAGTCTTTGGGAAGAAAGAAATAGCCACAGCAGAAGGGAATACATAATACCATTTCCTAGGACTTTCTTCCATGGTGGGGCCAAAGAGGCTCCCTATCTTTTTTCCAATTGCAGCCCGCTCTTTGAAGCACACAGCAAGGCGATTGTTTTGATTTGAAAACCGCAAAGGTGGGCGAGACGAGGGAATGGTGGGGATGCTTCTCCTTGCCTTTGTGACAAGATGCTTTTAGGTTGCTGCGTTTCGAGATTGAGGTCACTCGTAATTGGATACGTATAGAAAATGCACAAGCTCAGCAGAGCCCTCCCGCATTTGCTCGCCTGCCCATTTGGCAGCTGTCCTACAAAACTGAACGGCTGGAAATTTAAAGCTCCAATTAAACAAAAAGGATCCCACTACACAATTAACTCTCACCCATACAGCTTTTATCAAAATGGTACCTCTTTGCACCAGGGGAAGCGTCATTTTTTTTAATTAAAAAAAAAACAACCAAACACATGTAAAGAAACAGACACAATTTCCTGGAACAAGGCATTACATTTGCAGGATGATTTAAAAAGGAAAGAAAGAAAATCTTAAAAACTCAAGAGCTTCTGAGTCAAGAGTCAGTTTCATCAATATGATGAAATCTGTCCAGATCCAATTTCTTTTGTAGATTACACTTGTGTGGCATGCAGGTCAGGTTTGAAGTACACCATTCACCTAACGTAGGTGGAGAACGTACAGGGGAAAGAATTTGGCCAGAAGGCTTCTGCACTGATCATGTAAGAGCTCCACTTCCTAGAGCTCTGTGACCACAGGGAAAACTACTTGAATAAATATATAAGGGATATTGAGAAAGAGTGGAAGGTACCAGCTTGCTCATGAGACCCCTGAGGTCTACAGAAGTCCAATTTGTAAAAAAGCAAAACCTAAAGCAGAAACCCAACCCCAAAGTAGCCTAAATGAGGACTGAACATATTTAGTAGCAACAGAATGTTGAATGTCAGATGGGAAAGAAAAACGAAAGTGTTGATTGGGGTGGAATGGTATTCTGCAAGAAGCCATGGCTGGCAGACTAGAATACTCAACAGGAACACTCATCAATTAACAACTGTTCAAGTTATATGAGAACTTTGGTTGAAAGAGTGAGGACCAAGTGAGAGGACGCTGAACACTTCACTTGACGCTGCATCTTTTAAGTTTTTTAATCATTAATAGTCATGACGAGGTGAGCTGTCACCCACAAAAGCTTATGCCATAGTGACTTGGTTTGTATTTCATGTGCCACAAAACATCACTGCTTTTGCAGCAACAGATCAACATGGGGAACTCTGTTAATTCCATAGCTCCACAATAAGCCCAATGTGCAGCTTTCTGCAGCTTATTTCTTACCAATATACAAACAGACGACAAGAAACGTGTGTTACGGCAACATTTAGTATTGTATTTTCAGTGTTTATGGTAACACAGGGAGATTATTTGTCCACAGCATAAAACGGGAGAGGGGGAAACAACCAGAAGGCACATATTTCTGTCCTCATACTTTCAGAAAGTCAGTATCAATGCAACATCCACTAAAGTGGCAGAAGACATGAGAATGTACAGTTTTACTGCATTTACTACACTGAATACAGGATCCCACCCCACCAACCAGCCGTAGACAAGAACATCTACTACCAAGACGACGTTGAAAAATACCCTTCACATTGTTCCCTCTTTAAACATATTACAATACAAAACCAGTAACCACTTAAAAAGGTTAATGCTTCTCCCCTATACAATTTTGCCAACTCCATTAAGTTATGACCTGCACTGCCCTTGCTGTTACAGCCTGGATCCCAACTAGGGAAGAGGGAAACACGGCCAACTGTGTCAAGTTCCATGCTGCGTATTGGCAGTTTTGATCAAAAGCCTTCAGGGATTAGAGCAAATCTAAACTAATTTTCACTCTGAGCCAAATAAGCATTTGATCCCTCAGGTACAAATTAGCCTACCATACCACCTAGGGAGAATAATACCCCACGGCGTGCATGTTTATAATCTTGGCTCTCAAAGCTCATTTCATTTCCTTCATTAAGACAATAAAAACTAACGTGAAAAATGTGAACAGAAGCAGGATCACAGGCTGAAAGCAAATCCATTCTCTTTTCTGATGAAGCCGAGACAATGATATCTGGGGATACATTTGATTTGCCTATATGCGAGAGAGGAACAGTATAATCCTCCTAACCAACCCTTCTTGTTAGTTAACTAGAGATCAGTTCAATCCCAGGTGGCATCCTGTATCCTGAGGATATGAGCATTATCAGGTTTTTAAAGCAAGTGGATTTAGAAAACGCGCAGCCAGCTGGCCTGCAAACCTAAAGTTTATTGTTTCTTCTCCATTCACAACAAAGAGCGGCTGCCTCCTTAGCTATCCAAGGAGACTTATTTGAAGATTTCATTTACGTAGTTTTTCTACTGAGGTGCTTAAGGTGCTTTAAAAAAAATCCCTAAATTTATTTTAAGAAAGATTTGCAAACTGAACAAAAAACCCTGCAGACAACCGTTAATTTGATCAAACTCAGAAAAACTGATACTGCTTCTACGGCATTTATTTTGTTTGATTAGCTTACAATATCTAATTCTTTCAAAAACTCTGAAACCTCACTGATCTGAAAGAAATACACACACAAAATTAGAACCACATTTGCTTTCATTGAGATGAACACCCATCCATCCCACACAAATGTTTTGGCTCTTTGTAGGAATACACACAATTACATAAATGTAAAGACAGTTGTGTTGGCACATAAAAGGCAAGTTTTAAATGCACATTGGGCCAGTGGCTTTTATTTGGCCAATCAGAATGTTCCAAAATGTTACGTAAAGCTTTCAAGTTCTCCAGTACTTCTCCAGAACTTGAAAGTGCTCTTGAGAACTCAAAGGCCTGCATGCTATATTGTGACACTTTTGATGGCATAATAAATGCATTGTCCTTACATGGATTTTGGAACGTAACTATAAGGTTTGTAGCTAGATTTCTGCAGAAGATTCACAGCCCTTAGGGGTGCAGTTTTAATCAGTTTTAACCAGTTTTCCTGATTTTTGTAAAAGGACATTTCAAGAGGCAGGGGAGATCTGGAATTCCAGAGTTACGAATGCAAACTTAGACCCTGCTGAGTGCCTCTCTCATGTATCTCCAAACATCAACTTGGGATGATAAGTTTCCATCTTTTGCATGTGATATACAGTACTTTCAATGGCAACATGAGACATCAAAATTAGCAACAGGCAACAGATTAAATAGGAGTACACATACACAGTACATTCTATCTATATACATATACTTTCAGCGGCCCCGGTTAAGTATTCTGTTGTGTCCTAGAAGTAGATCTTCAAAGCCCATTAAACCATTTGGCAATTGATATATTAAATAACATTCCAAGTTATCTAGTGCAAACTAAAGTTTGTTATCCTCTAGACACGTACAACAACTTCCATTCCTCATTTCTTTAAGCCAAAAAAAGTTTTTACTAAATTCTCCACATTCCTTTCGGTATTGTTAAATTCAGTTACTTCTCACAAGAACAGCATTTCTCCTTAGCAACTCGTGTGCTACATCATAGTCTACATCAATGAGGCTCTCCTTTACACAAATCTGGTTTTTGGTCACGCTCCATGAGACCAGTCTCACAATGCGCCGTCAGTACTCTGTGTGACATTTAACACGTCATTTTTGCCACTCCATACTCCAGACTGACAACACCAGGCTCTGTCTTGGAGAGCTCTTCCATATACTCGCTGTACCGATTGTCTGCTGCGTTGGAGCCCTCTATTGTTCGAATACAGTCATTTCCATGTAGAAGAGGCTGCTCTTTCTTAAAGCACTGGGATGTCTTAAGAACTGGTGACACAGGCCGCAAAGGTTCCTTGGTGAAAGCCGCATCCAGCTCCTTGTTTACACGGTGACCTAATTTCTGGGATTAAAAGGAGTATTTCAGAGTAGGCTCCATTTCCCCTTTGCGACCGTTTGGAGCCTGAGAAACTGTTGTTCACATCCAGCCCCCAACCTACCAAACTCCTCACTTTCCCTATCAACATATGAAACTACCTTACACAGAGTCCAACCATTCCTTCCTTCAGTTCAGTACCATCTTCTCTGATGGCAGTGGAGCTCCAGACTCATCTAGAGGTCTTTCCTAGCTAGCGACTACAGTTCATTTTAACTGGGGATCCCATGGACTGAAGCTGGGGCCTTCTGGGAAACACTGCCAATGCACTCAACTTCTGAACTATCTCTCTCTCTCACACACACACACACACACACACACACACACACTGCAGCTTTGTTACTCCCCACTATCAGTGGCACCGCTTGCTTCCTTATAGTATCAGGTCCTTCATACTTTCTGTACCCTCTGCTGTTCCTGAACAGCTGTAGTACATGCACTAAGGCAGGAATTGGGATGGGGAGCCTATTAACAAGGTCAACCCAAGAGACCTACAAACAAACAAGACTCACAACTTGGATAGCAAGTTACACTATACAAAGGACTGGTATTTATGGTATGGGGATGAAAAGCTGACACTCAAGAGCATCTTCTAAGTCTCCCTCTGGTGCAAACTGCTCTCTGACATGTTCCAGTCCATCTCTGTTTGCGTATTATCAAATGGCCCAGCAGGTGGAGTGCCATCTTTCTCTTGCCAGTTGCAAAAATAATCTTCACAAAAGCAACAGAAAGAGACCATCATTTGAAAAAGCATCCGATGGGATGCGGTTATGACCTTTTAGGAGCAAAGCAGGCCTGTGTCGGACCTCTCAAGACAAAATAGTTATTGGAAATACTCACAGCTTCCAGTTCCTTAATGTCTTTCTCCAGCAGTTTATTTTGCTCACTCATGCTCATGACCTGGCTGACTACGGATTGCCGGGGATGCATGGTGTGATCAAACTGATGATACATGTTCCTCCAGAACCTGCACGTGCCAATCGCAATAGTATTTTAATACACCATTCTGGCAGCTATAACATTATTATTATTATTGTTATTCTTTAAACATCATTGAAACTTACTTAAAATTAAATGATACTGTGTCAGGCTCCAGAATTGTGAGTGACTGAGAAAAATTCTCATTATAGATGGGGTTTAGGTACTTCTTGCATTCATCCAGAAGGAAAGGCCACAGTGAATACGTCTTCTCTTTCAATCTTGAAGGGAAGAAGAACTTGAGTGAATCGCAGTCAGGGCCTGAACAACGCTAACGCCATATTTCAGTGGCAAAGCTATCCATGCAGTGGAGATATTAGGACAACCTTCCCCAACCTAGCAGACTCAGGATGCTTTGGACTGCAACTTCCATCAGCTCTAGCGATGATGGGAGTTGTAGTCCAACAACTGGAGGAAACCAGGTTAGGAAAGGCTGATGTATGGCCAGAAAGCAATCACTGGGGGTGAGGTGGGAAGGGAATGGAAACTGGATTGTGCCTGCAGTATTTTGGGGTGAGTCTTTCCCTCCCCCTCCCCCCCCTCCCCCAATGCTGTTTCTTTACTTTAAAGTGGGGGTCAGGGTAGAAGGTGATATAGGGTGGTGATTAACCAAGCTTTAATCAGAGTTGGACTTAATGGATTATCACTACAGATATATATCATTTTATCTGACGATGGGAAACTGCAGTCTAGGGTGTGTGGAATTTAAAACAGTGAAATGGCATGCTGAGGGAGTGGGTTATATTTCTAAACCAGAGGGAGAACAATTCTCCCATAAACCTTTCTCTCTCTCTTGAAAGCGATTATATTCTCAAGAAGATTTTCAAGGATTCATGTTTTAAGGAGTGCAAAAGATCTAATGTTTTTGCAATGCTGGGTTCCCCACCATCACACACCAGAAAGGTGATTCTAAGCCCTAGCAGTTAAGAGAGCTAATATGAAACCTTACCTGAGCTCTTCTCGTTCTTTCTGGCAGTTCCCAATGAAGTTTCCGAACTGGCAGGAATGGACGTGTTCATGGATCTGAAGGAGAAAAGCCTCATTGAACTCAAAGGCTTGCGGAAACTGCTCCGTCAGGTGCCAGACGCTTTCTAAAAACTGAGCGAACACGGGAGAGATTTCCTTTGGGTCTCCATCCAGCTGACCGCATCTATAAAATACATTCCACATTAAAAGAGGCCAGCCAGTTAGTTTTTATTGTTCGACTGCGGGTCACAACAGATAACGAAGGGCAACGTAAAATAGTAATCACAACCATCTAGAATATTTACAACAGCAATAAAACCTAATGGGGCAGTCAGACAGACAGAATGGAGCTCCCCCCCTCCCTTCATACTGTATGAAGATAATCAGCAGAACAGATCCAGTAAGCAGCATGCAACAACTTCTACATTTCATTTTCATTAAAATAAGACCAGCTGCTGCAAAAGCACTTCAGGATAAATATGTGGGGGAAGTGGTGGACAAAACCCACCCTGGGTAGTCACAAAAATTCAATGCACCAACATAACCTCCTCCTCCTCCTTTTGTAGGTTCAGTTGGGCATTATCTATGTTTTCAGGATAGGCTAAAAACCTTTCTGCGCACCCAAGTATTTGCAGAGTAGAGAAACTTGTCATATATTTAGTGGTCTCTGTGGAAGCTGTGGAATTATATTTTGTATTGTTTTATTAGCCATCATATGCTTTTTATTCTTCTGTGTATTGCTTTAGGATTTTTTTAAAAAAGAACTAAAAGCAGTTTATTAGTATAATAAATATAGGGTTGAATCCTACTAAGTTCTACTCAAAGTAGACCCACCGATCTGAATGGTCTTGGCTCATTTTAGGTCTGCTAATATCAAGGGGTCTACTCCAAGAAGCTGGGTTCAACCTATGATAATGCTTAGTGGACACGAAGAAAACAAAATTACCAAATGTGATCTAAAGGGGATTTTTTGACTTTTAGGAGGACATCTCCATTGCTCTTTGGAAGTCCCACCTTGTTTCCAAGCCAGTTTGTTGTGCAGCAGAGATATGGTGGAGGTGGAACAGGCTATTTGAAAAACACAAGCTCAAAGCCTGCTTTGGGATGTGGAAGTAGGGATGCAGTTTTTTGGACCCCGCCCTACCCAAGTTACTGCTATGTTGCTCTGAACGGCACAGGCCAAGTCACATAAAAACCACAAATAAAATGGGGCACACACACACACGAAGATGAGCTCTCAACTGGTATTTCAAGCTTAGGTCAGGTTTCTAGATGCCAATGGCTTACCCTGGACCAGTTAAAAATGTCTGACATGCATGTACAAGCATATGTACGTGCATAAGAAAATGACACATTTTTTTCAGAGGGACAGAAAGACAGTAAGTATAGGAGCATGACTTATAGCTCATCCTGGAGGGGCTACCAAGTCTAAGTTAACTGGTGACAACACAAAGCTCAGGGTGGATGCTAAAAGCCAGGAGCCGTCTCTGCAAGGCAAAAGGGAACAGAGCTTTCCTCAGGGCCTTGGGTTGGGAAGTAGGGAATCCAAGACCAGGGCCTGGCTGGACTGGGGCTGATAACCAGAAAAAGTCATCTGAGGAGTGTCCCAGCTCAGGAGGGGGTCCAAAAACAGAGCAAATGCATCTTCTGGACTAAACGTATATAGGTCCCTTATAAGATTATGAGATCCGTGTAAGCATATGAATTGAATAGTAACACAATGAGTTACATAATTAATTCAAACGTACAGCATCTTTGTAGCAAAACACCCTACCTGTCTGAAAATTTGTGCCCGAACGCAATCCAGTCTTTTTCTATCAAAACCTAGAAGAAAACAAGGCATCAGCTTTTCATCTGTTTTTATACTGCGGATCTAAGTTTGGATTATATTACCCAGGTAAAAGTTCTTGGTTTTGATGAATTAAACCCAAAATATCAGAGCAGTACCCAAAATAATCCTAAACTCAAATATATACATTAGATTTAAGTCTCATGTCAGAGTAATTTTAAAAAATCGAACTGATTCAACTGGTGTGTTTACTACTTAAAATTAGTCCTGTAAACAAAAGAGGCTTCTCCCCCAACCTCATGCGCTTCAGATAGCCTTGCCACAGTGCATTGGTAATCTCAAAATTAAGACTACTATAATGTGTTGCTATGAGGGGCTGCCCTTGCGCATGGGTCAGAAGCTGCAGCTAGCATAGCATGCAGCTGCTAAGTTATTTGGTGGGACAACCCAACACTGCAGATATTCACACCAGTGTTGAATGTTAATGATGTACCTTTATAGGATAAAGATTCCCCCCCCCAATGTTTATTATGACATACTTAGGATATTAAGTGCCATTTAAAAAGGTATATAGGAAGTAAAACAAGAGCAATTGCACCAAAGTAACTCGGTTGTACCATGTGCCAACTGAAAGCAACTCATTGTGCCCCAAGTACGCACCATAAAGCCTTTCATTGTTCTATAAAAGGGATCCAACAACAGAGATCCCAGAGAACACACTTGAGACGTCCGGTCCCAGCCGTCGGAGCAATGCACTAGCACACTTGCACTCTCCAAAGCTATGGCCTGTGAAAAAGACAAGAAGATTGACTGATGCTTGTGCACTTGTATTTCAAGGAAAACAAACACAGCTTTGAATAATTATTATTATTATTATTTATTATCTATTCCCCAGCCACTCTGGGAAGCTCCCAACAAAATATTAAAATACAGTAATGCACCAAACATTAAAAGCTTCCCTAAACATTCCGATGAGTAAAGCGGCTAGCAAATCACAACAAACGGCAGCAATAATTTGATTCAAATATACAGCCTGCTGCTGCACTCAGGCACCATGCTACAGCGAGCTATCTCCTCACTTGGAACTGCCCTAACAGGGAAACAGGTGATTGTGCATCGATACCTGACAGCCTGGGGAGTGGGAGGCATAAGTTACTCAGTCCACACTCTTTTCCTTCCAAATGCCAAAAGGCAATTGGAACGTCTGAAGTTGACAATACTGACCAAGTTACCCTAAGAACACAGAAAGCTGCCCTAAGCCGGGAGTAACTATCTAGACCAGCGATGGGGAACCTGTAGTTCTCCAGAAGTTCCAGAACTACAACTCCTGTAATTCCTGATCACTGGCTGTGCCGGCTGGGGCTGAAGGGAGTTGGAATTCAGGATCAAGCAGAGGCCTTTTACATCATTTGCTATCTGATCTTTCTTTTGAAAAACAAAAACTGGGATCTTCCACATGCAAAGCTTCTGCTCTACTCTTGAGCTAAGAACCCGCACCACGTGCGGGTGGAGGGACTCTATGAACTGAGTAGCCAATTGCAGCACCTTCTTAAATACACCCAGCCAACTGGATCTGGGAGCATTCCACCCTCCTTTACTAAGTTAGAAAGGAAATTGGGTGTTGTTGGGGTAGTGCCCCTGAGCATTTATCCTGGTATGTAACTAAGCTTGTGGAATGCAGGCTGAACCTGCTGGTGTACTATTATGGGCATGAACCACTGGCCACAAGTTGAAGAAAGCAAATTACTTTGGCTAAGAAGATAGCAGCATCCAACACAGCTTTGATGTGTCGCAGCCATCCGCAGCTCTCCAAACCAGACAGAAAATCATTGACCGACAGGCCCCTTGTCCCACAGACTGAAATAGAAAGATACTCGGTCGTTAAATTCAAACAGCAGCACTTTCCTCTGTAGGGAAGCAACTGAAGCTTACTTTCACTTTTGAACAAATCAATTCCTAGGCTTGATATGAACAACCTTTTCTTCCCAGAGTTTCATCTACATCCCATGGGGGCTGTGCAAGAGAGGATGCTGAACTACGCGTGTTGTTGAAAGCTTGAAAATGTTACATGAAACAAAAAGAGAGGGACCTGAAATTGATGTGCATTCCAGATATTTTTTTCATAAGATTTATATTCCGCTTTAGAGTAGAAAAAACTCAAAGCGGTTTACAAAAAAAGAAAGATAGAAACCAATGTATTCGGTACATAAGGGATACTGTATTTATTACTTCAAGCAATAAGCTGTTTGGTATGGCTATGTGGGGGTGGAGAAGGCTCTACAAGAGTCTATTTTGTAATTATCAAGTGCTTTCTACCAATTAGAAGCAAATTTATACATACCTTCCAAAAGTTTCTGCAGGCTTGATCTCATTACATGGATGTTTTCAATACCAACAAACTGGAATCTAATATTAGAATAGTTGTCTTCATTCTCATAGCCTTTACCTGCTGCTCTGTTGGCCAGTGCATTCAGCTTGAAGAAAAAGGAGGTAAAGCAGTTAAAATGTGTGGGAACTCCCATCTGATAAATATTAGGAACGTTATGATTGCTCAGGTTTCCAGATCTATAGGACAGGGTTTTTTCCTCCCTTCATGACCTCCTACTTTCTAAGCCAAACCATTAATCACGTAGGATATGAAGTATCAGAAAGCATCCTACTCACTTGGTAACCCCCCACAATTTGTCCTGACCCCTGAATAGCAGCTTCCAGTAGCATAATCACAATATGCTATGTGGCATGGAAAGCTGCTATTTTGAGAAGCATCAGTACAAAGCCCTCTGGAGGTATTCAATCAGTTGCATTGTTCATTGGATCCTGGCCAGGGGCCTGAGTCAGGTAAGCAACTCCTCCAAAATCGGGGGCGGGGGGGAATTAGTCCATGAGTACAAACAGCCAGTCCAATGATGATGAGGGATCCAGTAATCAAGTCCTATAAGGAAGGAGCCAAGTATGCTTTAGCTTGAAGAAGAGACTGTTATCTGCAAACATCTGAAGGGCCGTCTCACACACAGATGGTAGACCAAATTTATTCTCTGTTGCTCCAGAGGGTGGAACCCAGAAGAACTCATGAAGACAAAGGACACAACCTAAACATTAAGAACCACCTCCTGATGGAAAGAGCTGCTCAACAATGGAACAGACTGCCTGGGAAGGCGTTGGGTTCTTCTTCGTTAGAGGCAGAGTGACTAGCTAATAGGGATGCTGCAGTAATCAACTTCCTGCATCATTAGGGAATTGGACTAGGCAACCCTTAAGGCCCTTTCCATTTCCAATTCATCCCATTGCCACTCTCAGGTTGTTCACCAAACTGGGTCCTAACAGAAACAGCAACCTAACGATATGGTGCAGTCAAGGAGCAGTAATTGCACATCACCCCTTCCCATCTCTAAACTACAGCATTATATCACATGGGAAACCAGCTAAAGGGAATGGTACCTACTTTAGGCCTGGTGTCCACAACATACATATAGCAATTATTAGGATTGGCTTTGCTGATCGCTTGCAACATGTGCTCATCCTCCAGACACCTGGCACTGAATCCCGAGAGAGGCTGACTACATCTGCAAATGGCAGCCTAGTTAGAAGATGGAGGGACAAATATAAAGATAAGATAATGAAAGGTCTATATGAGCACTTTAGAGGACATGAACAGTGGTCTGAATTTTAAGTACAGTTCTTAGTTCTCTGGTAGCTGCAAGAAGGGAAGATGAAAGCCAGAAGCATGATGCATGGGACTCTGAAGATGCAAAACCTCCAGAAGGAAACTTGAAAGCCAAAATGTTTCAGAGTTCATGGTTTCCTCTGTTATAGGCAGAGACGGTTTGCCCAAATTTTAGTGATAAAGCTGGAGATATAAGGTGGCAGACACAAAATTAGTTTCTATAAGAGAGACAAGACACATTTGCATTATGCACAATCAACTCAGAGCATTTTTCAATGCCCAAACCACATTAGTTTGTTTTCTTGGTGCCATGCATGCTATTATTAGTTCTAGTTTCAACTTCCCCACATCCCCATAAACGGGAAGCAAAAACTTGAATCTTTAAGTCCTGAATTTTCAAACCAGTGTGAATAATTGCAACACAAGACAAGTTGTAAAGGTTCTACTTCCGGAACTCTTGACAAAATCAACATATAGAGACAGATATCTGTGGTGAAACCATAACCATGTCTAATCAGAAGTTAAGTCCTAATGAAGTCAATGGGACTTGCTCCCAAGTAAGTGGGGCTAGAATTGCAGCCCTAGTGAAGTGGGGCCTACCCCAATGTTACATTCTACTAACAGCCCTTTTTTGATGGGCCGCAACAGATCTATGAGTCTGGGTTACTGTACTTACCCTTCTTGTCTTTTCCTGTGATGGAAAATAGCCTTTAGCCCATTTCCCCTGAATGGAAATCAGACTATACCTCATTATCTTTATGATAATATGACAGCACAGGAAACCTTCCTTTACTTCGGAACTTAGAACTGCCAACAATGATGGGCTTGCTTGCACTCCTGGGAACATAGAGGTCTCTGGGATATGTTTCACAGATCTGAGGGAGGAAAGGAAAGGAACTATAAAGGACAGTGCATTTAGATATGGCAGGGATGGGGAAGCTCAGGGTCCGGGGCAAAATGCAGACCTCCAAACCTACCTGACCCCTTGGGACTCTCCTTAAGCCATGGCCCTCACCAGCCTTGCTCCATGGGCCCAAGTGCTTTTGCCAGGCTGGAATGTCCTTAAAGTGACTTGTGTGCAGTGGGAAGGTAGCCTCTGGTACAAAGAGCCACAGCCATAGCTCTACCTGCTTTTGCCTCTGCCCTGACCAACCAATAGTACGCACTCCCAGATCTTTGCTCACAAGGGAATATGGCTCTCAGGAAGAAAAATATTCCCCTCCTCAAGATATGGTGTGCAACTGGTGGCATCCATTGAAATCAATGGGAAAGGCCTTTCCCCATATCTTCACAATGGATATTGCTTAACCCTTACCTAGAAGAATTCTGAAGTATCAGGGCTTCAGAAAAACACTGACTGCGTTCTTGAAACGCGTCAGGAACATAAGACCCCTGATGGATCAGAGCAAAGGCCTACCTAGTCTGAACTTTCTGTGCTCACAATGGCGAACCATATGCCTGTGGGAAGCCTGCAAGCAGGACATGGGTGCAAAGAGCCCTCTCCTGTTTGTGTTACACAGCAACTTCTGACGCTGGAGGTAGCACATAACCATAGCTTCCATAAATTTGCCAAATTCTCTGTTAAAGCCATTCAGGTTGGTGGCTATCACATCAAAATACTTGCATGATTTAAAAAATAAAACCTGGGGGAAAATTAATTCCTAGTGTTAATTCTACACTGCCTCTTCTTTAGTTAGAGGCACAACAAGCAAGAAAAAAGTAATTAGAAGAGAAGTGAAGAAGTTGCTGCCTTCTATGTAGCCTTGCACACAAAACTGAACTGAGCTCTACAGCAAGGAGAGAGGGGGCCTAATTATATTGCGGCATACATTCTCTCAGTTAATGACAAGTTGAGTCATCCGTCCCTCCTGCATGCAATTGAGTGTGAATTCAATCGAAGCAGCTGCAAAACAGTTGCAAGAAACAAGGCTTTCCAAGCGAACCTTTGAAACTGAATTCCCATGAGGAAAAGGAACAGACCAACAATTATTCCAGCATGAATGAGGTGGAAAATGCCACTTCTCACTTCGGTCTTTCATTTCATTTTTATTTTATGTTAGCAATCTATTACCTTATAATCACGATTTGCATCTGATAGCTGCCAGTCCGAGTTAGGCACGTCCATCCGGTTGTACTCTTCTGCAAGGTCTATGAGCTGCCAGCCTTGCACTCTCTCTTCCTCCTTTTGCTTCGGGTTGTATGAGAAGGCATACAGTTCGTCGTATCTTGCTAAAACAAGCCAGGAGAAAGAGAAAAAGAGGAAGGAGCCTGAGCCTTGCTGTGGGATTCCAGAGGCACCACACTGTCGTTGTTGTTTAATTTATATACTGCTTAGTGTTGAAACAGTTTACAAAGTATAAAAAGCAGTTGCACAAGCACTCATAATTAAGTTACATAATAAGCCACAGTTAAGTTACATGATAAAACAACAGAGCAATTGAACAGGAGAATCAGGTAAAAGGATCAAGGGGAATGCCTGTGTAATGAGAAAGGCAGCCACTCTACCTGGTTTTGACAGCTGAAGCAAGGAGTTATAAATATCATGGCAGTCCCTTTCTCTGGGAACAATGAAGTGAACTATCCTGAAGTTCTTGCACTGGATCACCAGGGGGCAGCCGGACGTGGTCAAGGCGAGTTTCTCTACCGCAGCAATATGATGGTGAAGTATCTGCAGCACGCAGAAAACCCACAATGGCCTTTTCATAATTCTTGGTTTCCACGGAAGAACCACAGACATTATCTCAAGTTGCTTGCTTGTTATTGGATGTGCTACACTACTTAATGCTGTGACCAGTATCCAAAGATCCTGTCCGCAATATTTTTGATTAACAACCTTTTAACATATTTCTATTGCTTTTCTGGACATTTAATATGAAATTTTGTATTTTGCTTTTCTTTTAACTGGCTTTGGGACTTCTTTCAGCTGTATGAAGAAAAAAATAAATAAATTTGATATACTAAATAGAGGAGTAACCCCGGTGGGATTTATTTTTATTTTCTCATACTCCACTGCAAACTGTATCTGAAAGTTAGGAAGATAAGAAGAGCCCTGATGAATCAGGCCAAAGCTCCATCTAAGTCCTGCATCTTGCCTTGTGGAATGAGGAGCAGGGACTGCTGTTTGAGAACACAGTGAAAAGCCCCTTTGGGTGAAGGGATGCTAGCTAACCTATATTCTATTAGTCCTGCTTCTGAAGGTGACCTTCAACAGGCTACAAATGCAGACACACCAACACACTGAGGGAAAACACTAGCTATACATAGCCAGAAACCTGTTAATGAAACTCTCAGCGTTATCTCTCTTTTCAAAGACTAAAATTAAGAAACTACCAAAGGGGGAGATGCCAATTATTCATAACTCAATAAAATTATGGAGTTTAATTAGCTAGACTATTATAGGATATACAGCGCACTTAAAAAAAAAACAGTTTGCAAAATTAAACTATTAACTGTGGCAGAATGGGCAAAGAGAACTGATGATGTGCCTTAGACCTGGGAGTGGGAGACTGACTTCACACACTTGCCAGTGCTAATCTCCACGCATGCACAGGAATGATATCTGGGCAACTGGCCCAAATGAAGTGAGAATACCACAGCCTTCTCTCAGGAGGCTGGAACTAAAGCCTCTGATTCTTGGAAGAGTGCCCTGCAAAACATTGGAACAGCGCAGCTCAAAGAAGTCAACCTGAAGGAGGCATGTGGTTCAATACCCATTTAAAACAATTGTACCTCACATTCTGCGTACTTAAAACAGCTTACAACAACAATTACCCAGTTATTGCAAGACAGGAGACTGGGCCTGGGGAGTCCTCTACATCAGAATAAAGCGACACAAAATAAAAAGGGTGCCCCACTGGAGAAAACCATCGGAATCCTTACCCATGTCTCTTTCTGGCTCGAGTCTATAAATAACAGGTGAGTTGCCGTGAGATAGAGCGTTCCTGTTTGTGACTTGATGTTTGTGCTGAAACGATCTAATAATTTCACCTGTTCGACCTGTGAGGGCAAGGGGGAAAAGAGAACACATTGCCATGAAGTAAACATATGATCTTGACATAAAAACAGCCCGGTCATTCAGTTCATTATCTTCTCAAGAGGCAGATCGCTGTCTGGCAACAAAGTGTGCGTGCATTTGCAAAGACAACCTTTAGCCTTCACAACGCACCAATAATGCAAAATGCAGCCACCAGGCATGTGACAGATACCCTAACGTGCACGGCCTACGCTGCAGCAGCTCACATGTGCCTGCTAACAGGAAGAACCGCTCGGCTAGAACATTTTCTGGCTTTGTATCTTCCCGTTCTGACTGCTGACCCAAGAGGATAACATTCTGGTTGGGCTAGTAAAACCCTGGCGAAGTGGTAACTCAAGATCAACTGGTTCCAGGGGCTGTGTTTGCAAAGGTGACAATGCAGCCTCCAGAACAGAAACGGGATACTCTATATCAGGGGTCACCAACCTAAGGCCCATGGGCCAGAATTGGCCTGCGGAGGTCGTTTGACTGGCCCATGAGCCACCCCCAAACCGAGTTGCCCGCTTGCGCACTGCGCTAAACCGGCGCAGTGCAGCATGGGGACTCACTTCCACGGTGCCAGAAATCGCGTCTGCGGGGGACTGATCCAGCCCAGGCAAGATAAACCTTCCTGACCTCTGCTCCATATTCTATTAAGCCTCTTGTGTTTTTTCAATACAGTTCTGCCGTGAACAAATTCTCTCCCACAATTCTCATTTCAAATAGTACCATCATGCAATGATCTCAGAAAGACTACTTGGAAAGATTGCTCCTAGAGAGAGAGCCAAGGGCTACTTTTCCTGCATCCAACTTGGAGCACAGTTGAAGAACTGCTGAGCAGATAACACAGCAAAACCAAAGTAAGGCTATAGACTTTGGGTGGCAACCCCCATAGCTATACATGGAACCAAACACAGCTTCTCACATGCTAAGACAAATAGAGGGTTCTGTTGTAACCCACATATTTAAGGAAGAATGTGGGTGCTTGTTTTTTAGGTGTGTTGTTTGCTGTGTGTTACTGAGGAGGGAAAGTATGGTGCTGTGTGGTTATGCCACATATGTCCTATAAGGCCTATTCTGAACTGAGACTGAGGGGAAATCTATCCTTCTTAGAAAATGAAAAAGTTCCTCAAAACACAAAGGCTGAGAAGAGCCAGAGGGTCTTGCGTGCAGTATTCTTCCAAAATAACATAGGATGCTTTCAGCTGTAGCAGAGAGCAATTTACAGAAGGTACACTCAGAAATTTAGCTGCTTTTAACCGATCGGAAATTGACTTTGAATGTTCTACAGGTCTGTTTTGTCTGAATCCCAAGAGCAGGCCAGAAAAGCTACCACAAAGAGGCAATAAGGGAAGATTTGGCAAGGATGCGTTCCTCATATTCTCTTGGCAGGATTGCCTTATTAGCACTAATTCACCAGTCTGCTCCTAGAGCTCTAACAATGAGTCTGCCACAAGATTCAGAGAGCGCATCTCTCATACAGACCAGCAGAATTAGAACTCAAGGGAGAAAGCAGCAACAATGGAACTTCCTGCATCAGCAATGCAGGTATCTGCAATTCCTGAATTCTATCTCAACGTCAATATTTGACCTGGCTAGATTACAAGAAACATTTTATAACCAATTCTCCAGCTCTTTGCTTTTGAAAAATGCTGGCAATACAAATCAGTAAGCATCACTTAAATAAGTAGCTTTCAGATATATGATGGTGCTAATTTGCAGGAAACAGAAAATTAGCAGCTTCAACTAAAGCAGCCTTCCAGGCACGTTTTATGTTAAAAAATAATTAGGACAAGCTACACAGGCAGACTGGATCAGGTCAAAGCCACATGACCAGGGTCTAAAGTAAAGCAAGCCCTTAAGCGACAGAGACTTGCCAGTTTGTGAACTGTACTTTCCCCCCTTACTCAGCCACCCTGTCCAATTTTGATAAGCACAACTGTACACCAATAAACAAGAAAACATGAGCATCCTCAGAAATGAAGTCTAACGGAACAGGTAACTGTAGGGCAGGATTTATTTAAGGATTTAACTTTTTGCAAAGTATCAAGTATAAACGTGGCATAAATCCATTTCTCCATAAGCTAATTTATGGCTGCTATCATGTTACTACATGTGCAGCCCTTAGGATGAAACAGTAGCTTACGCACATAGCCAATCACTTTGAGCTGTTGAATTATTTGCACTACGTGTCAAAGTAAACAAGACAACCCGTGAAAATGTGGGCCAAAGGAGTGGCCACTGAGGACCAATGTGGCGTAGAGGTCATTGGTGAAGAGCAAGGAGAGAATAAAGGTAAAGCTGCACCAGCTTTGTAGTAATAGGTGACCAGGAAAACGAGCAAGCTGGCAGAGGAGGGATGGGTGACTTATCATTCCTCTGTACTCAATACAGAAACCAAGTACTATAGATTGCCAGAGGAGGGAACGGCTCTCTTCTGCACCCAGTATAGGAATGAGGTGGGCTCTTTATCCCTTCTCTACTGGGCTCCAAGCAAGCTATTAAAACACTCTGCAGGCTAGTAACTTTTGTGGGCTTATTTACAAGGTTGCTTTGTGAGCATTTTGTTGCTTTTTAAGGGTGATTCTTTCTTCTTTGGAACTCCCCAAAGGAAACTTCAGCATTGTAACATAATTTCTTCCTTCTTAGGAACTCCCCCAAAGAATATTCAGCCTTGTAGCATTATAGAGAGTTGAACAGACAGCATAAATCACATGACAGGTGCTTCTGCCTTCTGAAAGATAACCATTTTAAGCCAAAAGGAACTGGCTCAGATCCAGCCCAAAACATTTTGCTGCCTGAAGTGAAGGTATACAGTGGTACCTCTGGTTGCGAACGGGATCCGTTCTGGAGGCCCATTCGCAACATGAGCAGGACGCAACCTGTGTCTGCGCGTGCCACGATTCACTGCTTCTGCGCATGACATCGTTTTGCACGTCTGCGCATGCGCAAACGGCGAAACCTGGAAGTAACCCTTTCCGGTACTTCCGGGTCGCCGCGGGATGCAACCTGAAAACGTTCAACCTGAAGCAAACGTAACATGAGGTATGAATGTAGATGGTACTCTCCACATGGGCACAGGGTTATATTGGAGGTGGGGCAGGCTTTATGTTGGGGGGGGGCAGAATCGAGGTATCTGTGATGCAAGTAGTCAGTTAGTTAAGTCTTTTATTTATTTAATTTGGGGGGGAGGCAGCTCCCCCCCTGCACCACCCATGTACAGAAGCATGTCAGCTGAATCTTGTTTCAGTGCTAGGAATAGGATGGTGTTCTTTACAGCACCTGAGGGGAGCAGAATATCTTACAGGATGCAGGACAGGACATGGCTTGCATAGGTCTGTCCTCCAACAAAAAAGGACAGCCAGGAAACTCGGAGAAACATCAGGGACCCCAGCATCTGTAACCTCAAGTGGCTGCCCCAGTCTGCCTAGTGATTGGGCATGCCCTGAATACGTTCCATACTCCTTTTGAGGTGCAGGTCTTTTCTCTTCAGCTGATGATTTCCCAATTACTTTTGTGACTAATGGCACTTGCAGCATACAGAGACTTCTTCCACAACCTCCCCCCAACCCGGCCTGGAACAGCAGCAATTTGCCTCAGTTAGCATTTTGAAACTTGCAGATTACTATAGATAAGTCATCTGCTTCCTCCTCTCTCGCTGCCATACAAAGTTTCATTCAAAGGATATCTGAATTTCAGTGGAAGGTTTAATTTTTAAGAAGTTAAAAATACTGCAGGTCACACACAGCAAGAGTAAATACTGATTGATACTCTGGAGTGGTTTTGCTTTGCGGACAGGTTGTGCTACAACAGCAAACAGTCTATATGGCTCTGAGATCCAAGTACACAGATCACATTTCAGGCTAAGGTCAGTGATCCTCTACAATGCAATAGAGCTTTTACTTAAGAAAAGTAGTAAATGGTCAAAGGGCAGTATTAAGCTTCTCAGGTCTAAACACAATAATCTTTGTTTTTGATTCTCCACAATTTAAACTCATATTGAGCCACTGTTTTCCAGCTACTCACAAAAACACTGAGTTACTTTAGCTTCAGAACAAAACAATTGGGGTGGGGGTGTAGAGAAAGATAAGAAGTTTTTTTGCCTGCAGGTATGCTTGTTTAAAGGTAAAGGACCCCTGACAGTTAAGTCCAGTCGCAGACGTCTCTGGGGTTATGGTGCTCATCTCGCTTTACTGGCCAAGGGAGCTGGCGTTTGTCCGCAGACAGTTTTTCCGGGTCGTGTGGCCTGCATGACTAAGCCGCTTCTGGCGAAACCAGAGCAGCACATGGAAACGCCGTTTACCTTCCTGCCGGAGCAGTACCTATTTATGTACTTGCACATTTTGGCATGATTTGAACTGCAAGGTTGGCAGGAGCTGGGACCAAGCAATGGGAGCTCACCCTGTCACAGGGATTTGAACCGCCGACCTTTTGATCGGCAAGCCCAAGAGGCTCAGTGGTTTAGACCACAGCGCCACCCGTATCCCTGTATAATGCTTGTTTATACAGTGATAAAACTTCCCTAAGAGCACAGCAATCTAAGATGATGTCATTTTTAAAAAGAAAATATTTTGAATTCAATTTGGAAATGAGCTGCACTAAAACTGTCATGTGACCCTTACATGACTTCCACTGAAAAGACATAGGAACAGAGAAAACTGTCTCCTACTGAGCCAGACCATTGACCCATCTAACTCAGTACTGTCTACACTGACTGGCAGTGGCTTGCCAGTACTTCAGAGTCTTTCCCATTGATGCCTGGAGATTGAACCTGGGACCTTCTGCATATAAAGCTGATGTTCTACCTCTGAGCTATGGCCCTTCCAAAAAACCTGGCAAGAGAGATGGAAAAGATAATATGGAATTTGTTGTCTATCTCATGACATGATCTCATAAAATCAGATGGGCCCCACCCTTGGCTGAGAGCCCTGTCAGAAAATATCACCCTGTAGGTTACAAGAAGAAGACTGGAAACACATCAAAATTAGAATCAGAGAATTGTAGAGTTGGAAGGGACTATAAGAGTCATCTTGTCCAACCCCCTGCAATGCGGGAATCTTTTGCCCACAACCCTGAGATTAAGATTCTCATGCTCCACCTCTCACCTTACATCAGGCAATACCTCTATCTAACCCCCTACACTGGCTTCCTGTCCACTCCCCAGTCCTGTTTCTCCTGCTGCCATTTGCCTCTCCCCCCCCCCCGTGGTTTCCCATCAAATTATGTATGTCAAGCTCCTTGGGACAGGAACTATGCTCTTGAACTTCGTAAGATATCATGCCCGCTGACACAGAACACACACACATATATAATTGAAAACTTAAACTCCAAATAAACATGAATAAGATAGGGCTATATGGCTGCAACCTTAACAGACAGTAAGTACTATGGAGATTAGTGCAGTTTGTAAGATTAAATAGCATCACATTACTGCGGCCTAAACTACTGCGGCCTAAAGCCGACTATCACCACACATAGGATCATGGGAGCACTAGTCCATGAAAACTTAAGGATCCCATTAAATTCTAAGTTCAGATACGCAGAAAACAATATATGTAAAGAAATCAGGGAGGGGAGCTGAGGGAAGTCCTTGGTGGGGGAGAGGGAGAGTTGGGGGAAAAAATAATGTAATTGATTAAGAGGACTGATAAATTGTTATGTTGAAATTGGTTAATAAAAATATTTTTAAAATAGTAATTCTAAGTTCAGATATAGCCTGCTGCAGCAAACAGCAAAAGAAACCCAGAGGGTGACTGACATTCATCCAAGTTTTACTCAGAGTGGACTCACTGAATATTTAGTCACGCTCGTTCATTTCAGTGGGCCTACTCTTGAGTAAAACTTAGCTGCATTCCAGCCAGTATGGCAGCAACCTTAATGCCCAACCACCCAAGGCATTGTGCCATAAACCATCATGGCCTCGCAACCAATTTCCTCAAATTGTGGCTAGATAGGATGGAAACAAGTAAAGAGCTTAGGCGACAGCAGAATTGACCATGGTGCCATAAGACTTCTTTCTTGCGCATGTTTTGCTGCAACCTTAAAGCCCCGCTGAACTGAATGGGAATGACTTCTAGGGTAGATATGGGTCGGTCAGGACTGCAGCCTAAGGCACATACAGGCTTGCGTCTGAGTACGCATGCACAGGGTTTCACGGCAAGGCTGCGATCCGGGAGCAAGCTCGGTCGGGGGCTCAAGCCTCCCAAGAGGAAGCCCCCGGGGTCTGCAAGGCTCCCTCCCACGCTGCTCCGGCGGCGGGCAAGGCCGGCCTCCGAGCAAGGCCCCGCTCAGTTACCTTCGTGGTGCGAATGTGCTCCATGATGCCACCGCGCCCAAGCTGCCCGCCGCCGCCCCTCTCCGACTGGCCGCTCAGCCGGCGTCTCCTGGAGACACTTCCTGATAATCGAGTGCTGGGGATGGAGGTGGCGAGACCAAAGCGGCCTGCAAGAGGGCCGGATCCGTCCCACAGCGACCCCTGCCGGGTGGAAGACCCAGTCAAATAAGAGAGAATTCTCAAACAGAAAAGGCCGCTTTGTTTACTTGCTTATCATTCCGCCCTTCACCCGAAGATCACAGGGCGGTTTACCAATATACGAACACATACAAAAAATATGCACCCTAATAACAAACAAAAACAATGCCACACAAACACACACGCAGTTTAAAAGGCCGTAGGATTGGAAAGAAGATAAAGTCCCTACCAGAGAAGAATGGCAGATCAAGTGGATGTGATGATGCAAAAATGGCTAAAATGACCAGAAGAATCAGAAATCAGGAAGACCAAAATTTTAATAAGGAATAGGGGGAAATTTATATTTTTTAAAAACAACAACATTGTAAACAGTTAAAATAGTTAGTAGGATCAGAATAACACTTGTAGTTTAATGGTGAATTTTGGACACAATGAAGAGGTAAAAGATTTTGATTATTATAAAAGATGCAGGAGGAAATGGTTAACTATAGGACCCACAAAGGGGAGGAAGGAAGTCCAGGAGATTCTTTGGAATCTTGTTTCTATATTGTATGTTGGATATGTGACTGTAAAATTTTAATCTGAAAAACCAAATAAATAGTTATTTTAAAATTAATTAATTAATTAATTAAAAGGCCATAGGATTACTTAACTAGCCAAGGGCCTGGGAGAAGCGGAACCTTTTCTCCTGGCGTCTAATGAAGGCAACAGATGAACCTCCCTGGGAGAGGATTTCATAAATAGGGAAAGAAAAGGCCCGTTCTCGCATTGCATATCCTGGGCTTCGTATGCCTGTTTAAAATATATTGATATAGACACCTGCTGAAGATCATACTTCATATATCTGGCAGACTCCAAGGAAGGTGAAGCCAGAATAAATATGTTTCAGGGGACACAAGGGTAGTCATTGGTAAACTGGAATACTTGTGACATCATCCATCCGGCCAATCAACTGGGAATTTCCCAACAACAAAGGGGTCTGGGTTACATTGTCATGCTGATTAGCTGGGAAAGGATTAAGGGCATTTTCTGATTCAGTTTACACAGATGAAACTACTTTTAGAAAAGAGTCACGCTAGCAGCTATGTCAAGGAAGAATGACTTTTGTAATCTGGGGCTTCTCTGGAGGGGTGGCCCCAAAAGCAACAATGCAGGCAGGTAAAAAGCTTCATTGCATACTAAGGATCAGAGGTGCTATGTCAGAGGTAAGGTAAAAAGGGGGCGGGGAATAAGGAGCGGGTGGCTCTGTGGTCTAAACCACTGAGCCTCTTGGGCTTGCTGATCGAAAGGTTGGCAGTTTGAATCTGCACGACGGGGTGAGCTCCCGTTACTCTGTCCCAGCTTCTGCCAACCTAGCAGTTCAAAAGCACACCACTGCAAGTAGATAAATAGGTACTGCTGTGGCAGGAAGGTAAACGGTGCTTCCATGCGCTTTGGCTTCTGTCACGGTGTTCCTGAAGCGAGATGAGTGTCGCACCCCAAAGTTGCCTTTGACTGGACTTAACTGTCCAGGGGTCCTTTACCTTTTTTACCTATGTCAGATCAGGACATGGGGGTAAGATTTATTATATCCAGAGGCAGCATCTACCGAGGCAGCTTTAAGAGTCTCCAGAGCTTATTTCTTTATTCCTGATAGTAATTATAGTATTGTTCATGAGAAAGTCCAGTCACCTGACCAATTTGCTAAGCTGTGGGATTTGTGCCTTTGATGTGCAGTTCTAGAATACAGTCCCAAGACTGTACAGTCAGCGTGAGATGAGTGAGATGTGGTTCAGGCTTCTGAGATCACTCTGTGAAAGGAATAGGGTGTCTCTCATCAATTATTGTAGGGTTGCCATATTTCAAAAAGTGAAAAGCCAGATACAAAAGTTGTTGAGTTTTTTGGGCAAAGTTGTTGTGCTGCCATATGCCCGGGTTTTCAACGATTTTTGAAAATTCCGTCCGGATGCTATTTTCGATGGATGAATCCTGGGTATGTCTGGGAAATTCCGGACTTATGGCAGCCCTAATTATCAGCACCTCTAACAAACTAGAGTTCCCAGGATTTGGGGGGGGGGGGATGACGACGATGACGACCCAGGACTGTTAAAGTGGTGTAGTTGTGCTTTAAATGCATGCTATACTTTTAACCATACCGTGCAACATCTGGTGGTGGGGAAGAGATATGAATATAAAATTAGGTTTCAAATTACTTTGAGAGACATTTTATGTCTTTAGTTCAAAGATTTTTGATGCAACTTTTAATCAAATTATCTCCAAGGCAGTTTACCCAGCAGTACAAAACAACAACACAGTGGCTTTTGTTCCTCTGGCCACTGGCAGAAGCCAGAGTCTTCCCTCCCCCTCACATCTGTTGTTCCAGAGCAGCTGCCAGTTGAGCAAAGTTATCTCCCTGCAGCCACGGCTCTGTCATCTAGTTTAAGCATTAGAACCTTATCTTGCCACGGAAACACAACTAGTACATAAAGCAGGAGGCTTAGCAGTATGACGAGGAACAAGCAGCTGGATCACCTGCCCGCCTCTATCCTTTCTTTTGAAAGCCATTTTGAAGAAATCTCCTCAACCCACCAATGGGCAAGAAGTGTAGAAGATAAAATGTTTTCCTCATAGTTTGTTGAGTGTGGTGTAGTGGTTAGAGCTGGTGAACTAGGACCTGGGAGACCAAGGTTCAAATCCCACACAGGACTACAAAGTTCATGGGGTGCTTTTTGCCCAGCCACCCATTGTCTCTCAGTCAAACCTACTCCTCAGGATTGTTACGAGAATAAAATGTGGAGTGGGAGAACCATGTATGTAAATGTAAGAATAACTAAATAAATAAACAAACCAGTCTTTCTTCCCGCAACCTGGTGCCCTCCAGAGGTTTAGGATTACAACTCCCATAGTCCCTGACCATTGATTATGCTGGCTGCAACTGATGGAAGTTGCAGTCCAACAATATCTGGAGGGCACTAGGTTGAAGGCTGTCATAGAGGTGAGGAAGTAGGCAATCTGGTAGTCTTATAATGTTGTTGGACTTTAACTTTCTGCTTATGCTGGTAGGGGCTGGTGGGAACTGTAGTCCAACATTATCTTGAGGACTCAACTTCTTTTTTTTCTAAACATTTCCCCGCTCTGCTAACCGGGAGAAAGTAAGAGCTGCCTATAGAAATCAAATAGAGAACTCCATGATTTTATCTTAGTTTATATCTGAACTACAGCTGGTCACTCCACACACCAATGAGTACAGCCAAGTAGTTGTATTAGGCGGGCATTCCTGCTAGGTGTTATTTTGTAAAAAATAATAATTATCTCAGCGTTTTTAAACATTTAGGTTAGACTAGAGCCTCACTGAACTCTACTTCTGAGTAGACATCTAACCCATCCACATGCAAACCAATGAAATATTAGACTTCTTTATGCAGGTGAGCGCTGGATCTGCGCAAGTGGGACAATTTAAGTGGACATTTTCTGCAGCTTGTGTGCTTCGCGGGTGGGAATTTTGAACGGAAGTCCAAACGAGGCCAGTTCCTAAACTACTGTGTCTCATCATTTATGTTATTTATTTTCCGTATTAATTCCCTCCCCCCCCCCCAAAAAAAGGTCCCAGGGCAGAAATGACATAAGGCCAAAGTTAAATGAGAATATCAAACCAGGCCAACATAAACTTCATACAAATTAAACAACAGCAACAATGAGAATTTCAAGCCAGCATCCCTCACCTTTAAAAGGATGGCGGGCAAAGAGGTACGAATGTATTTGTTACGAGCATAGTCTACATTTGAAGTCGCACGGTTAGGGCGATTAAATTTTTTTTATGTTAAAAAATGCCTTAATGCCCACCGCACTCCGAAAAAGGCCTGGCTTCCCATAACATAAATATTTTCCTGCTACCTGTTGCGGAGGACGCGCTACTGCCCAACTACACCTGCCCTAAAACACGGACTTTACCAATTTCTACGAGCAGAGCTTTCTCTCACTTCCGCTCAAGAGGAGAAAAGAGCCAGTTTATAACGTGAACCCCGGAACCTTCCTATCCTAATGAAAAAAAAAGCAGGGGGGGGGGGGGAGAGAGAGAGAGAGAGAGAGAGAGAGAGAGAGAGAGAGAGAGAGAGAGAGAGAGAGAGAGAGTCCTCCAAGATCCCATGGTGCCGTGCGGCTGCGCGCATGCGCGAAGGGAAAAGAACGTGCGACGGAGTTTCCCTCCGACGTTTATTTGCGGCGCCGCCGGTGGCGTAATTCGAGCTCCCGAATCTTGCCGCCTTTTGAAACTTCCCGCCGGGGAGACCTCCGAAGAGCCGCAGCCTGACAGGGCGGCCGCAGTCCAGAGAGCTCCGGCCATAAGGACCCCACATCCCACGCTTGGGAGGGGGGGGTCTCCTTTTCCCCCTCGCCGCCGCCATGTCGGCGGGCTTCTCCTTCGGAGCCGGGACTCTGCCTTCGGCTACAGCAGCTGCTGCTGGTACTGGAGGCGGCGGCGGAGGGGGCTTCTCGTTTGGAGGCACCCCGAGGTAAGCGGGGGCGGGGGGGGGAGAAGTGTGGAGGCACCTCGGGCGGAGCGGGGAGTAGACTTGGCCGGCAGGGCTCGGTTGAGGGCATCGCCTCGCTGCCATTATTATCCTCGGCTTGTTACGTAGAACACGCGCGCCCAAGTTGCTCGAGGCTGCGCACGTGGCTCCCTCCCCATCCCAACCCTGTGAGGTAGGCTATGCTGTGCGGTGAAAATATCTCCCATCCCCAGCTTCGTGGCTGAAGCTGGGATTTTAGCCTGGGTCTTCCAGAGCCCACCCTGGGATTTATTTTGAAGTGTGCTGTGAACAGCAGCCGAAGTGAAGTACTTAAAAAAAAAAAAATCTCAACTAGAATTTCAGCGATAAAAGCATGATTATGATTATTTGAATTTGTATACTGCTCTATACCCAGAGGTCTCTAGGCGGTTCACAGAACAAAATCAAAATATAAAACCACAAAAAACATTATCAAAAACAACCCAATAACCCCCATATATAATAGTTGCCACAATATGTCCAGCTTGCAGGGTGAAGTGATTTTGGATGTCTCAGAAAGAGCCACAATAAATAATAGCTAAACTCAAAAGCAAAACCTAAGACGGCAATTGTAGTCACACATTGGGTTAAGTCCCATTGGGCTCAGTGGGACTTGCTTCTGGGTAAGTGTGCATCTGGGATGGTGAATCTAGGGGAGAAACAAGTATGTCCTGTGAAGAATGTTAGATATCTGCAGATTGCTGGCTGTTTTCTTTTGGACAAAATAAAAAAAATCCTTCCTGTAGCACTTTAGAGACCAACTAAGTTTGTTATTGGTATGAGCTTTCATGTGCGTGCAGACATCTCCTGTAGTTAAGCCAGCTGTACTCAGCTTCTCTGAAGGAATAATCCAAACATCATGAGCCTTCTGCTTGTTTCTTTCACACAGAGAAGCTTCCAGAACCCTCTTGAATTAATTAGAATAGGAAAGATCTCTCCACATCTGACCAATACTTTCTGTACCAAGAAATGCAAACTGATAAGGCCATGCTTGTTTATGCTGGAAATTCACTTGCCATTTAAATAATAGTAAACAGGTACATAATGTTGCAACGCAGAGTGTTCCTGTTCAGCTCCCTCACCTCCCTTGCTCCCCCTGCAGCAGCCAGCCACTATTTTATGGTTGCTGAGCATCCTCATTCCTCACAGCTCTTTAGGAGGTATTTATGTCACAGAATCATAGAATCATAGAACTGTAGAGTTGGAAGGGACCCTGAGGATCATCTAGTCCAACCCCCTGCAATGCAGGAATATGCAGCTGGCCCATACAGTTTCTGTTCTTAAATTTTCCTGTACTTCTCCAGCAGTCAGGATTCCCACTAGCCTCTTGTGTTTTCGATGGTGCTGTTTTAAGTGCATAAGGTAACTGATTTCACTATTAGCATAGAGGATAAAAATGATGGAAGGGGTTTAGGCTAAGTTCACCATCACATTGAACACACTATGTTTTTGTGTTCTTTTTCCCTCAATGTTCTTTACCCTGATTGCGTTGTGTCTGACACTCAGGGTGTTAAAACATCAAATAAACTTTACAAGTCCTGATAAGAATAGCTGTCAGATTTTATTTGTGTTGTACTTGCAGCTGCTTTCCATATTGTGGCTATGATAGAGCTCATCTGCACTGTCTTATAATATATTACATTCGTACTGTCGTAACTTTAAGCCATTTAAACCTGCTGGTTACACCATTATTAATTTTGCAACACAGACATTCCATGTCTGAAATGTTATATGAGATGCAAAACAGAGTTGGCAGCAATTATAGAAGCTGCTTGTTGTGTTATTACTGGAGAGCCAACAGCATCTCGTAAACTTTTCTGCCTGATAGATGATGGTGAGTGAACAATAGTAGAAATTGAAAACCATGTATGAAATGTGTTGCATTGCTATAAGGATTTTTTATTCTACTTCAGTCTGAAAAAGAGCTCACTTTTAATCTGCTAATAACTTATTTTAAAACTTGTTCTGGGATGTGAGAAATAAAGTTAACTGTATATCTCCGGGATAGTCAGGCCCTACCCTTCAGACTGAAAATGTAAAGAATTTTGTGTTTCCTAAAATATTCCCAGTAATGTCAGAGGTTTAGTTTGAGAGCCGCTTCATTCTAGTGGACTGCTTTTGATTCAGCTTGAGTTGAAATCACTAATGTCTTTGGATCTCTGTCTGTCCCTTTCCATATAGGGTTCTGAAACATATAATTAGTTACTTGATTATGTTAACACTGCAAATGCAATTGGTTGTTTTAAGTGTTTGTCTGTGTTAAAATAATGATAGTTAGCAACAAAAAAACCCAAAAAAGGCAACATAAATCTTGGTTGACTTGAGGGTGAAATATCTGCTGGTAGCATTTACGTTCATATTAAACAGAGAAATATGGAAGAGGCATTTTGACTTTCAAACTGTTCTGTAGAACTACTGCAATGAAGAAATAAAAAAAAGAACGTGTGTTAAATTTAACTAATTTATTTGTCTTGTAATGTAGCTCAACTGGAGGGCTTAATTTTGGGACATTGGGCTCGACAGCTACAGCAACTACAACCGCTTCATCGGTAGGCTTTGGAACTGGACTTTTTAGCTCAAAACCTGCCACTGGTTTTACATTGGGAGGGGCTAATACAGGTAAAATATTATATTTCTACACTTTTAAGATGAGACAAGTATAATGACATTTGAAATGTGTAAAAAATATAGTAGGTTATAAATAGCCATATATGCATTTGGTTAAAAATAACACTTTATATACCTGTATACTAGACAAGCATATATGGAACTGTAGTTGTTTGCATGTACTGTATAGTGATATAATATATCTTTTTTTCTTTTCTCTTTATGCATTTTTTATTTTTACTTTATTTTGTTCAATTGAAAAATAAAAAAGGTGAGCCTTGAACTGATAAATGATTTGAGAATTAGTGATGAGAATTAGTGGCAAAATGCAGGAGTAGCTAAAATTTCAGATAATATTCAGTAATTTTGCTCCTTGCCAAAAATATTTATATCTTCATTATTAGAAGCGCTCTCTGGTTATATAGTATTATTAGAGAGCTGATAATGTATTTTTTTAAAAAATTATGCATTTTACATATCTTAATATATCAGTTATACAATTGTCATCGTTTATCTCACACTCTGACTTCCACACACATCCCTCTGTGGGGTCCTATTTAGTCCTTGTTAAGCTGCATCTCCTTAATTACCGCCCCTCTTCTGCTTATTTTATCTGCTGCTCATATACCTAACGCCACTTGGAAGTTTATCTGATTGTTATATTTCTTTTAATATTCGCCAAAGTATTCCCACTCTTCTTTTATATCCAACTCATCTTGGTTTCTTATCTTTGCAGTCAACATTGCTACTCCGCATATTCTATTAGCTTATTCTGCCAGTCTATTTTTGTCCTTCCACCTTTGGGCATAAATTATTCTGGCCACTGTTTTTGCATAGAGGAAAAAAGACTTAAGTACTTTCTTGGGTATTTCTCCCTCTACTATACTCAGTAAGAACATCTCTGGTTTCTTGGGAAATGAGACCCTTAACATCTTTTTTAGTTCTGAGTATATCATCTCCCAATACTCTCTGGCTTTCTTACAACCCCACCACTTGTGTATAAATGTCCCTTCGATCTGCTGATAATGGATTTTAAGTCACTAATTTGGGGTCAGTGATAAATCTATTAGGCAACTGGCAATAGAAGTGTGGTTTATTAAACTCAGGGTTTTTTGTACTATTACACAGGAACAGCAACCACCATGGCTACAGGATTGACACTTGGTAAGTGCTATATTTTCAAAGCTAGCTTTGCTTTTTCTTTAAATGGGGTGTGACTTTCAGAGCTGCCCAAATGAAAAGTTCTGGATTTGGATGATGAGAGACTAGGAATGCTGGATAAACCCCAAAGATGACTAAAGTGTCAAGAAGAAAAATATGGAAGTAAAAACTGTAGATAATGATACATTAGGAACATATACTCAAATATTTACTTGGTTGGTTCAAATCCAGATGTAACATTCAGCTCCCCACCTCCTTTCCACGGCATTGTTAGCCTTTCTGTCCCCCAGTCTCCAAAGCGCTCAATTATCCATGTGTTGTTATGATATGTGCTATTCAATTTCTAAAACCTGCCTATGTGATATTTTCCCATTATCTTTCTATTTGTTTCCCTGTTTTCTTCATTTTCTTCATGTTCTTTTTATCAAGTGTGTCTCTTTCTCCCATTTTTCTCAAAGGTGTCTGTATTCAGGCCACAGCCACAGTCCATAGCCGTCAACAATTCTGCTTCCGCACTCTGTATAATCTGTTAAGGGTGTCCCATTGATATGAGTTAGAATTGAGCTAGCATGTCTTGGTTGTGATCCTATGCCTGATGCAGCTTGGGTACGATCCTGGACTGGGCCCTGCTTCCAGGTATCCAGGTTGTAGAAGTGGTCAGAAGTATACTTTTATCAGGTGCATCTGATTCTTCATCCAGTCGCTCCTTAGTTAAAAGGACTAGGCCACTGTCCCTTATGCATGGTGATCTCTGAGTTGGACTACAGTAAAGTACTCTGTGTAGGGCCACTATTGAAGCTGGTAAGTGATAGCTGGTGCCAAATTCTTCTGCCTGTGTTTTGACCAGAATGGCCCAAAGAGTATATTGTGTCGCTTATTGTCCACTTGATCTGTCTACAGTTTCTGGCTACTATCCTTGGTCCTGATGTAAAGCAGTGAATAGCTTGGACCCATTATATTCTCATTATATTCTAGGTTCTCCAATGCTCTGAGATGAACCAGAAACCTTGTTTCAGGTGATACATATTAAAAACATGAAACTTGTAGGTGCCCAGGGTTGACCTTCCCCAGTGGTGGTGATGATTTTGTCATCGTATCCCCTGGGAACAGGGGACAACAGTGCTGGGAAGCAGTGCATATATTATTGGTAATTTTTTTTTAAGAATTTCAGAAGCATTCAAAATATGGGAAGCTTGGCTATCTCTTACTGCTAGTGCCTATTGTTAAATGTGTTTCACTGCTTTGAGTCTAATGGAAGAGTGATTGAAAAAATGAATGTGGCTTCACTCACTTTTCACTGGCTATATACAGATCTAGAGTAATAAATTTAGAATTTTTAATTTTACTGAACATACCCAGTTTAAGTGGCATCAAAACAAGAATGACATTTTATTGTTCTTTTACAGGCACACCTGCTTCTACTTCTGCAAGTACCCCAGGACTTAGTCTAGGATTCAGCAAACCTGCAGGATCAGCCACACCATTTGCTTTGCCTATCTCTTCTGCCACCTCTGGCCTCTCACTTTCTTCTGCTCTTGCATCTGCGCCAGCAACAGGTAATATACACTTACAGTTTTGTGTTTAAATCAAATTTCCATTGTTCACAAATGCATAATCATAATTGTTCCTAAAAAAGAAACCAGGTTAATCAGTGCAGTTCTGATAAAGATGATTGAACATTCACATAATGGTATTAGTTTAGTTTGGTACACTGAATTAACTTGAGAACATGGTACATGATAGGAAGCCAGTATGAAGGATGCTAAAAGAAGCATCCTACGTCTGATAAGAGGAGAAAAGTGCCAAGAAACTCTGCTTTGTTTGTCGTCAAAATCCCTTTAACTGCAGAGTGATGTAAGATTGGAGCGTATGCATCATGCCTAAGGAATACTTGCCTCAGAATGTATGCTGTAAGATTGGTGTGGGGGAATCTATAGCCTTCTAGATATTGCTGGACTACAGCATGTATCATTCCTAACCCTTGGCCATGCTGGCTAGAGTTGGAGCTGAGCAACATCTGCATGGCCACAGATACTTTTCAAAATTTGCTTTCCTTTAAAAGGATGTCTGTTGCCCCAAGTCCTCCGGATGATTTAGTGCAAGAGTGCTTAATCCATGCAAATAAATGATGACAGCGGTAACAGCAGGTAGAATTTGTGAAAGTTTCTGCCATATTGTCCGCAACTGAATTCCAATAGTTGTTTATTTAGCAGGTAATAATAGCTGTTATTATGAAGGAAAATCAGCATGCATGTCTTCAGCTTACACCTCTGCTTAATATTCAGGGTCCACTGGCTTTACGCTGAACTTGGGAGGCACAGCTCCAACCACAACAGTATCCACAGGACTTTCTCTTGGGGGAGCCTTAGCTGGTTTAGGAGGGACACTCTTCCCAAATGCAAGCTCAGCTGCTACAGGTGACAAGCCTTTTAAAGTGGTTTCTAGCTGTACTGGTATAAAAGAATATGGAAAAATTGGTTTTTAATACGTAAAAATCTAATGTTATAATATATCAACAGTAAAGATCAGGATTAAAAAGGAGGGAAAGGAATTGTTGGACTAACAAATTGAATTGGAATACAAAAGAGGGAGGTATGAGGAGGTCCAGGAAACAAGTAAATGTAAGTGAAGCGATGAAAAGATGGAATTGTTTTTAACTGTTTTTTCCTTTTTTGTACTTTGTATTTTTCTTTCTTTATTGTTTTTTTATTAATGTAATCTTTTTCTTCTGAAACTTTAATAAATATTATTTTTTTTTAAAAAAAAGACAAGCCTTTTATGTGCATCTACCTCCTCAGATTCGTCCAAGATGCGCGTCTTATCAAGACGGTTGAGATACTGTGTGTTTTGCTAATCCTGTCGTGCTAGAACTAAGTAATTGTTCCTGGTCCTTTATTTTGAAGTGCTTGGGTTTGTGGTCATCTACATTAACAACTAATAAATGAACAGCATCACTTGCTGTGTTACTATCTAAAAATTAGAAATAGTTTGGGGCTCAAGGTCAACAGAGAGTTCTCATTAGTTAAGTTGCTTTCTGAGAGTTTCTGAGATAAGTGAATCAAGGATGAACCTCTGCCCACCTTAGAGCTTAGAATAACACCCACATGGTTGGGTGTTGATGTTTCTTGGAAGATTTCTGAAGCTCACGGCCTTATCCCTACCATTTTTGGCTGGAGAGCAGGGTTGATGATGAACACAATTTTTTGTTGTCTACGCTTACTACAAGTCTTGTTTTCCCCACATCTACATATGGGTTCTAGCTGTTGAATGTAGACATAACATGCCTTTGATTTTCACGACTGGCAATTCATTGAGGATATATTGCTTCAAAAATGTTATATTCAGACTATTTTCAATACTGATGCATGACAATAAAAAGTCTCTGATACAGTTGATGGATTACTTGCAGGGCTCGGACAGAATGCATTCGGTTTGACTCTAGGGACGGCTGCAGCACCTGCTACTACAGTTAATGAAGGTCTTGGTGGCATAGACTTCAGTAGTTCTTCAGATAAAAAGAGTAAGTTTTTGTGGATGCAGCTTTGAAAGGTGTTTCTCCAGGAATACTTAATAGGCACTGGCTTTTTTCTGTAACTGCATGGGGACTCATTAAAACAACAAATTCTAAATCTGTCTTTTAAAATAAGAAACTATTTAATGAAACTAACTGCTTTATGATTCTATTACTCTGGGGTTTTGGTGCCTGGTGCTGAGACGTGTGTTCCCAGTTGCCCCGCAGCTCACCAGTACTGTCCACGTCAGTACTCCATACACCAGGAGTAGGGAATTTTTGTTCTGGCCAGATTTCTACCCCCAGGCTATTTCCCCAAATCTGCAGCCACGTCACCTCTGATCTTAGGTGTGGAGCAGGTAGAGACATGGCTGGATCAGCTGCCTGCACACCTGAAACCTGCAAAAAGCAGGATCCAGCTCCCTGTGCACCAGCTGATGCACAGAAAATTCAGTTCTGCTTGGTTCAGGTGCTCAAGTGCGTTCTCCAGGAAATCCCTAACTCTGCTTGGTCACTTCTCCTTCTCCTCCTCCTCCCATCTACTTTCCCCCCTGTCTTTATCTCCGACTGAAGCTCCTATTACAGCATGGATGGGGAACTTGTAGCCCTCCATATGTTGTTGAATTACAGCTCCTATTATCCCTGAATATGGGCTATGCTGACTGACCAATGGGAGTTGTAATCCAACAGTATTTGAAGGGCCATACATTCTCCACCCTGCCCTGCAGCATCTGAAACTATGCCTAGAGCCCCCATAGGATGGATAATAACAGTGGTTTTAAAATATCAGGTTATTTTTGTTAGAGAATTGCTGTTTTAAAAACTAAATAAATGAAAAAATGCACTATTTAAAATCTGAATTTAATGCAGACGTGCTAGTCTGTACTCCAAAATAAAATAATTGCTACCTATCAAAATATGCTTTGAAAACGTCTGACCTGAGATTGGTTAAATGACACTAATAGTGCAATCCTACCCGTATCTGGTGACCCTTAAAGTAAAACAAGTCAGGGAACTGGCTGCTGTTTTTTTCAGAAGCTAGCATTTTTCCAAATAACATTTGAAGCTTTTAGCCAAGGGTAATAGGAGTGGGTATCCTTTTTAGAAAAGAGAGTCATTGATGGTGTTCAGTATAAGAAACCTATTGATATTTGTATAATTCAAACTTAGGAGCATGTTTTTGTTTATACTAAGAGTTTTAACTTCCTTTCCCCCTCAGGTGACAAAACAGGAACGAGACCAGAGTAAGTGTACCAAATATTCATAGCTGGAAAAATACCTGTTGGGACTAAGTCCCTCTTAAATGGAAGGCAACCAATAGCTTCTTATTTTATTTAAGCATACATAAGGTTCTGTACCGCTAAATATTCTCAAACCAAGGTACATAAGATCAGTGTTATAAACTAAACAAAAAAAGAGAAAGATCAGAAGAACATAAAATGGGTCATATGGAAAGATAAGCTTGTGTGAATAAATGTTTTAAAGTGGTGTCTTAAATGAATCACAGAAGACACCTGCCTAATATACAAAGGCAATGCACAATATCAGCGCTGCTATGCCAAGTACCCCATTCTTATGGCTGCATAACATGTATCACAAGGGACAGTTAGTAATGCTTCTCCAACAGATCTCAAAATAGGCAGGAATGTATGGAGAATGGTGGTCCTTCAAGGAGGCTGGTCCCAAGTTATTTAGGGCGTTATATGATAACAGTTGCACCTTAAATTTGGCCAGAGGAGATTCTTCATCATTGGTGTTGCATGCTGTCAAGGAGCACCACCAAGCTCCTAACCTGCTACTTCAGAGACAATAACCCTGGTCAGAAGAGGCAAGTTGGCCAACCCACAGAGCCTGCATATTGTCAGGATTCCAGCTTAGTTTATTGGCCCTCATCTAGGCTACCACTGCACTTAGACCCAGGTCCAGGACTTGCATGGCCACACCTGGTTCATGGTGCTTTCCCAATGTTGGACTCCAGTTTCCATCGTCCCTGAGGCTGTTGGGAGTTTACGTCAGTGACCCCTAAAGGGTACCAAATTGTTTACACTTAGTGGACTAAATTGAGTGGGTTTAATCTTCGTGTTAACAAGTTAGGATGATGAAGTTGGTGCAGATTTGACTGTGATGTTGTAATTTCCAGAGAGGAAGGTACTGCTTCAAATAGTACGTTCATTCTCAACACTAGTTTTTTCATTTCTGTAGGAGAAAGATATTTGGGTTTGCTGGGGGAAATAATGAGAATGTTTTCCAAAACTCTTCCGCTGCTGCTTAATGATAATTGGGGTCAAACATTCAAAAAATTCAGTGGTTAATGGGCTTAGTGCAGTTCTTTGCATCTGTTGTGTTAAATAAAAACTGCTGTTTAGAGAGTGTCATGCTACTAATGATGTGCATGTCTGTTGGCAGGGATAGTAAAGCCCTGAAAGATGAAAATCTACCTCCAGTAATCTGCCAAGATGTAGAAAATCTTCAGTAAGTATTTCCTGGGTTCTTGGAATTCCAGATATCTTTTGTTACTGAAACTTACCTTGAAAGATGTCTTGGACTAGTAAGAGTACTCTTTTGTTTACAGTTTCAAAATACTTGGTTTTGACAGCTGTGGGTATACTGTTCACAGATGCTCTGAAGGTACCTCAGGTCTTGCTTACTTGAAGTCACTTCAGTAAAATGTAACTGGTGGGTTGCAGGCTGGAATCAGGCCACAAGGTGCTTCCGTTGGGCCCCTGATAACTCCATCATAGCCTTAATCCTTGTCCACTCTACCACAGCTTTTCCTGTTGTTTGGTGATGTGAGGAGAGTTGTCTTGGGAGAGGGGAGGATGACGGAGTGGGGAGGCATAAGCTTCTCCCCTCTGTGCAGTGCCTCTCCCCAGCACAGCTCAGATCTGAGATTGCAGCTCAGGAGTGGGAAAGGTGGAAATTGCTTTTCCATGCTTTGCGTTAAGAAAGGGAAGTCCATATTGTTACTGTGTCATACAGAAGACAAGCACTGAATTGGCCATGGAGAAAGAGGTGTGAGTGTATGAGAGAGAGGATGGGGGAGAGGGGTCTTCGTTGTGTTTGAGATGTGGAGAGTGTGTGTGTGCACGCGTGCACACATACACTTTATCCCCGAACCACCATCAGTACGCAGCCCTGACTACTTTCCTCTGAGATTTCCCAGCTCTGAGGAGAGAGAGGTTCCTTAGTCTGTAGTTCTGAAGAGCTGGGCTTAGGGGCATTGCATGGATTAATTCTGTCTTCTGATTTCTCCTCTCCCAGGAAGTTTGTAAAAGAGCAGAAGCAGGTCCAGGAAGAAATTAGTCGAATGTCCTCCAAAGCAATGCTCAAAGTGCAGGAAGACATTAAAGCTTTGAAACAACTTTTGTCAGTCGCCGCCAGTGGATTACAGAGAAACACTCTTAATATTGATAAGCTGAAAGTGGAAACTGCTCAGGTATAAGCAACTCTGATGGGGATCACATGCTAGCCTAAAGCTAGCAAAAATGATAATATTCCTATCCTCCTGGAAAATGCAGGTCTGCTTGCCTAACAGCTGTGCTGGGCAGTCCTTGATTTGAAGCAGCTGAGAACTTTGTTTACCGTACAACTGTAACAGTATAATGTTTGCTGTCCTGAAAGGTTTTTTCCGTTATACAGAAAACTCATCACTTGGTATCTGGCATTGTATCATATCTTCCCTCCATGTGCTTTCCCTGTAGAGTTCACTTGGTCTACTCTTTTCCAGCTCCCATCTATTAGGTTTTTGAAGCCTCTGGGCAAAATTTTATTGCAGTGGTCCCCAATTAAGTGCTGTGTCCCCTTGTTTTTCAAAACCCCTGGTCTAAAATTATAGTCTGATTTGTAATCACGTCCCATTCCTTTCCCCCCTCCCAATAATAATGAACATGGTAAAGTTCATCCTTCAGATATTAGCTAATTATCAGCAATAAATTGTTCAGTGAAACAGGTGTGTCATTTTATTGAACTGCAAGAATTACAAGAGCCATTTTTTTCCACCTCATGTTTTTGTAGGAGCTTAAAAACGCTGAAATAGCATTAAGAACACAGAAAACACCGCCTGGCCTTCAACATGAAAATTCAGCACCAGCAGAGTGAGTACAGCCTTGCATGTCTTGTCTATAATAAGTGTTTTTATATTGCACGTTGTATAGTTAGTCATATATTGTATACAGGTTCAAGCCTTATATTGAATATGGGTTTAATATAAAATACGCTTTTGTATCTGCATGGTTGGTTCACTCGGACTGTCCTGTATCTCATGCTAGAATACTGCACAGGGAAAGTAAACTAAATCTGAATGTATTATTTTGATTCCACAAGCAGAGTATGATAATTGCTATGAATCCTTTGCAGATATATGCTAGGCACTATTTCTCTTTTGCACATAGTTCTAAGGGATCTGTCTTCTGAGCTTCTTTCAAATAGAAAGTAATAGTTCGATTCTGGCTGGACTGATTTCTCACTGTAGTGGAAGGTGTTTCCTGAGAAATAATTAGTTTTTTCCTTTTAATTAGGGACATGATTTGAATATGGCCAAAATAATTTAGCTGGCTGGAAAGACAAATTCTTTAAATTGCCTTTTAAAAGAAAAGGTTACTGTAATATGGAAGGCTTTCCCTGGCTTTGTTAACAGGGAGTGTTTATAGAATCATGGAATTGTAGAGTTGGAAAGGAACCATGTGCTTCATCTAGTCCAACGCTTTGCAATGCAGGAATCTTTCTCTGAATGTGGGGCTCAAACCTGTGGATGCTGCAACGTGTCTGTGTGAGAACCTGAAATTAAGAGTCTCACACTCTACTGATTGAGGGAACTCGGTTTCTCCTCCCCTACTCGTGATTGAGAGCAGTTAGTGTGTACACAGGTTATTTGGGGGGGGGGGGGGGTTATCCTGCTTTTCAGCAGAAAGGGCTTCCAGAGCAGCTTGTATAATTAAAATAAGACAGTTCCTGCCCACAGGCTGACCATCTGAAAGACATGACAAAAAAAGAAAAGGGAATTGGGCGGAAGAAAAAGAAAATAAGCGAATTCATGCACCGTTTCTGAAAGTTTAAAATTAGACGTGAATACTTTCTGTAGAGTTCTTTATTCACTCCCGTCATTTAAATGCTCTAAAATATACTTAATTTAGCTACTTCAGGATCTTGGTTGAACAGTTTGAAGTACAACTGCAGCAGTACAGACAACAAATTGAAGAACTGGAAAACCATCTTGCCACCCAGGCAAACAATTCCCATATAACCCCACAAGGTAAAAAGTTAGTGATTTCACCAGTTGCCTTAATTGATATGTCATACTGCACTTTTTGCATCTGGCAGACTCGCAGGGATTTGTGTTCAGATGTTGCCAAGGCAGTAGAACATGGACACACCTTAGTGTCGATTTGATTCCAAATTTAGGGCCGAAGATACAGAAGCTAACATAATTGCTGGGATCCATAAGGTGGGTTCACACACCCAGGACAGGGCTGGCACCAAAACATTATTATTTTTTTCTTGCAAACAGCCGTCACATATATGTCCTTTGACTACAGAACCCAAGCATTTTTTTAAAAATCTGAGCGATCTCCCAGGATCCCCTTGACCAATGAAGAGAGGCTTAGAGGAGGTTTGAGTCTGTTTACATATTTCACTATTATTTGAGTTCCTGTATCACTACATTGAGGATTTTGTACCATACTTTTCAAGTGTGTACGTTAGTTGAAATGATGGCCTAAGTCTAAACTTCTTGTTTCAGAAAGAAATAATCTTGCTGATAAAACATCAAAAGGACTGTCACCTCCGTTCTCTGTATGTTTAGAGACACCTTTTCTTCCCCCATCATATTTTGACAAATCCCCACAGCTTCCTTAATGCGGTGGTGGCTTTATGTGGTAGCTTTATGGCAAATTACATGGTTTCACTGTGATTTGTATTGCAATGTGACTTGATTTTCAAATTTCCCTGTCTTACAGATTTATCCATGGCTATGCAGAAAATCTATCAGACATTTGTAGCTTTAGCTGCACAACTTCAATCCGTACATGAAAATGTGAAGGTAAAGATTGCTTTATAATGTGAAATTGTGACATGATTATCTGGCTTCTTTATGGTGGGTTAAACCACAGAGCCTAGGACTTGCCGATCAGAAGGTCGGCGATTCGAATCCCCGCGACGGGGTGAGCTCCCGTTGCTCGGTCCCTGCATCTGCCAACCTAGCAGTTCAAAAGCACATCAAAGTTCAAGTAGATACAGTAGGTACCGCTCCAGCGGGTAGGTAAACGGCGTTTCCGTGCACTGCTCTGGTTCGCAAGAAGCGGCTTAGTCATGCTGGCCACATGACCCGGAAGCTGTACGCCAGCTCCCTCACCCAATAAAGCAAGATGAGCGCCGCTACCCCAGAGTCGGTCATGACTGGACCTAATGGTCAGGGGTCACTTTACTTTACTTTACCTTATGTTGATGAATTGTTCTGGCTCCTAGTTCAGACTCGAGTGCCTTTTTACTTCCTGCATTGTTGTATCTTCTTAGATTACTTTCTACTTTTTCTTTTGAAATGGAACATGTTGCTGAAATGTTCCTTGAGGGACTTTAAAGCTAGGAGTTTTTGAAAGTTCTTTTTTTCAAAGGTCAGACAGTTAGTCTAGCAGCTGTTTCCTGATGGCTTGCTAAATTCATAATGTGAAGTTCTTTAATTCTGAGAATCATGGGCTTTCAGAGGCACTGTTTCTTTTCATGGTGCTCAAGTTACCAGGTATCATTCAAAATAGTACTTGATAATCTTGAATAGTCTTATTTTTGAAGTGGAGCTGATTCCTGTCTTCATTTATTGTGAGGTAGCCAGATATTTACAGTAGGTGTCGCTATACACCTACTAGGCATTTAAACTAGGGAAACCAAGGATTATTTCTGTTGCTAGTAGCATACTGTATTCTGTCACCTGCTGTGTTGATATCTACTGTGAGTTCAGCAAGGGAAATCCTAGCTAGTTTTATTGTAGAAGCATATTTATAAAAATTTCTCTCTTGCCTTTTACAATAAACCAACTCAAGTGACTTGCAGTAGTAAAACACAATATAACAAATGCAATTAAATCAAAAAGATAAAACAGCAGTCCAGGTGATAAAAGGCCATTAAAACATCTTGCATACTACTAAACGCCTGAGAAAACAGAATGAACTCTGCCCAGTTTTTGAAAGATAATGGAGTTGACAGCAGGCAAATCTGTGGGGGAAGTTGCCTTTCTGGGTGCCACCACTGAAAAGGCCCTCTCTCTGTTAGTCATTCAGTAGCGCCTGGAGAAGTGCATTTCTCCAGAACCTAAACTGACAAGAAAGTTCATGTAGCAGAAGATAGTGGTGTAGATATTAAGGCTTTAAAGGTCAAAATCACTCCAAACTGAGCCTGGAAACTGGAAATATCTAAACCTTCAACATTTACTTAATATAATAAGCCGCTTTGAGCTTATGGAAATGTAGAATATACTTTAAAAAACAGTACATCTCTAGTATTCTGGTTCTGTGGATCACCTCTTATCTTTAATAACTGCCAATGCACTTCAAGGCCTGTTTTCCAGTTTGTAGTGTTGCCATTGTAAATGTTAGCTCACTTGGTTAGAGCGTGGTGCTGATAATGCCAAGGTTGCAAGTTCGATATTCGATATTCCTGCATTGCAGGGGGGTTGGTCTAGACCAGGCATAGGCAAACTCAGCCCTCCAGGTGTTTTGAGACTACAACTCCCATCATCCCTGACCACTGGTCCTGTTAGCTAGGGATGATGGGAGTTGTAGTCCCAAAACATCATCAGGATCCCTTCCAACTCTACAAGTCTATGATTCTATAGCAAACCTTTGAAAACTGTAGGATCAACTAAGATAACCTTTGCTGTCTTTTTCAGATGCTCAAAGACCAGTATCTTGGTTACAGAAAAACCTTTTTGGGGGATGCTGTGGATGTGTTTGAGGCCAGGCGAATGGAAGCAAAGAAGTGGCAGACGGCCCCGCGTGTTACTACTGGACCGACCCCTTTCAGCAGCATACCAAATGCCGCAGCTGTTGCCATGGCTGCAACACTTACCCAGCAGCAACAGCCTGCTACAGGTCTGAGTGCATTCAAGTTATAGCTTTTAGTGTTAACACAAACGGTAAACTTGTACAATGTTTTATATAAGGTCTTCCTTTGTGTTGGAAATTAAAAAAAAAAAATTGTGAGTAACAGTTCATCAAAACGTAGGTAATAGAAAATGCGGGATAGACTTAGCAATAATTATATACCCAGTATTTAATCTTGTGGTTTTTTATTTGTAGTAGCTTGTTTACTGTATTACTCAACCCTTTCAAATGTGAGTCTTTGTCATCTCTGAATACACGTAGGAGAGCTTATCTCTAAAATTATGACACTATTGTATAAACTTTCAAATTTGTTGGGAAATCCTAATTCAAATTTGTTTTCCATTATAGCACTTTGTAATTTGAAATTATGCCTCAAAAGGTAGACGAATGTAAGGACCATTAAAAATATTAAGAGAGTTGATTAAAGTAGTTCAGAACTGTGTATAGAAATGGGGGGCGGGTAACTGAGGTGTTGATCAAGGGTGAGCAAAACATGGGTAGAAATTAAACAACTTGGGGATGGAGATGTTGACTTACATTTTATAAAATACTCCAACAAGATATCTTATTGACTGACATATGGCAGTCTAGGTGCTTGAAGTGAGAAGCTAGGTGGCTGCTTCTTTTAAAGTGCCTACCTTCCAAGGAGTTTGGGATCTGCAGGTCGCATTTAGAGAAACTCTGAAACTAGATGACTTTGCCTAAACATGGGTCTGAGCCCAGGTAGCAGTCTCCCTTCTGGACATATCAGAGAGTTTCCTTGGCTCTTGGTGTCCTGTCTCCATCAACCACACCTTTGTGTTTCTGGTGCTGGGCAAAAAGCAACGCAGAGCATTTCTACCTAGAGAGGTATTAAATGAGGTGCTGCTGTTGTAGTATTGGGGTCTACAGGGTATTTCCAGCTTTAACATACAGTTAACTGTTGACAGCTGGATACTATAATAAGTGAATCCAAATAGAACATGATGAGATTGAAAGGATTGCTACATCCTTCTAGCTTACTGTAGCAACACAATTTATTCTTTCCCTAGAATTGTGCCGAAGTATGACAACTTTTGAATGCATTCACCAGTTGTTGCTGGTTTTTCTTATGGAGGGAGGTTTGAATCTGATCTTTAACTACCATAGTCCTCTAAAACCTTTTCCCAAAGCTGTTGAAGCAATGCTGCCTAAACACTTTGTAAAATTAAGGGGAAAGCACTTTACCTGAAGCCTGGTAGGAAACCTCTCTCAGAATCCAAAATATCCTTCCTTGGAAGTGAAATCCATTGATTCAGTGGAGCCTGCTTCCATAGAAGTGTGTGATGGATTGCTGCAAGTGGGATGGATCCGAAGGACTGTTTAGTTTCGATTTTCTTTTGCACTTCGGTAGCGTAAAGCATAGAACAGAGCTTCTGTGAGTGGGAAGCAGCTGCCCCTTACAGAACAGAAAAGACACCTTTTGTATCCAACCTTTTGCCTTTTCTTCTAGTACAAAGGCAGCAAGGTAGGGAAGCAAGTATTTGAATTTGTGCCATCGCTGTAAATTGTATTAGGCCTTGAAAAGAGAAAATTGCAAAAAAAAAAAAAAGAGAGATAGAGGAGGCCATTAATTTGGAGGTGCAGCTGATAATGTTCTAGCAGTGTATCCTAATGGTATAGCTGTAGATGACTGTGAATATTGAAAGTGTCAACGGAATTTGGAAGGGCCATAGCTCGGTGGGCAGAGCATACGCTTGGCATGCAGAGGTTCTAAGTTCAATAAAGGTTGAGGTTTTTGGGCAGCAGGGTTAGTAAAGCCTCAGACACTGGAGACTAGCTGCCAGCCACAGCCATTTGGAGCATTGGTTCATAAGCAGCGGCTGTGTGGTTTTCCATCAAAAGCCAAGAGGTCGCAAAAGGTATTGCTCATTCTGTGAACTAACTGGCTGTCTTCGATTTGTGTTAAAGAATATTCTGTAACTTAAATGTTAGTGAGGTCTGGTATTTGTGAAGATTCTTGTATTTATGACATAGGGGAGTTTCCCTAGAATAGAAAAGTAAACTTCCCTGAAGTATGGCAGCAGAGGCCATAGGGTTGGGTTTTTGGGGTTGTTTTTTTTACAATCACGCTCCTTTCAGAAGTCAAACATTCAGTGTTAATGAGTTTTGCCAGCTGTAGGATATTTTCTTAACTGGAAACAAATGCCTGTGAAATGGTTGACTAGCTGGGAATAATGGTGACTGCTCCACTGTAGCGGAGTGCCTCACGTTCTGCTCAGCACAGGTTGTATTAAAGCTGTTTAGCCTAGGTAAAGTAGGAATTAAAATAATTAATTTATTGTCTCCTTGGATAGCTGTGTCATCAAGACGTTTTCAGGTAAAAATAGTTTAGTGTAGTTACTGCCTTAAGTGTGTGTTGCTACTGACTAAGCAATCAAGATTTGATTGGCTTACCTAAAAAGCACTTTGCCTTGCTGTGTTCCAACACCTTCTAGCACCTAAAGTTTTAGGGATACCCTAACATGTTACTGTCCAGATGCTGTTGGACTCATCTATCTCCCATCAGTCCCAACAGGCCTGGTCAATGATGACAGGATTTGTAGTCCAGCAACATCTGGAGAGCACAGCATTGGCTACCCTGGTTTGTTATGTCATTTGACTCTGCAAAGGGTGCAATCGCTGGAAATATTCGCTGGAATGAATGCCTCTCCAAATCATAACACTTCATAGGACCCTGTGCTTGAGCTAGTTGTGTAGTTAAAATCCAATGTCTTGCCACAAATTGGAGCTAAGCTAGGGTTAATTCACTTTATTTTGAAATAGGCTTAGGGCAATTTTGGTTGTACCTTTATTGTCAGTACGAAGGGATTTGAGCAATGATATCTTGCAAACCTGGTAGGGAGCGTTGCTGATGTTTACCGTAAACGGGCTCTTAGTAGTGAGCTCTATTTATTTAAACTAAAATTGCTCCTTAGGAGAAAAATATATAATTTTTAAAAAATATAATGCAGGTAATTATAGTTTAAACTATTTCATAACATGTGATCCAAAGGTGACAATGTTTACTTACGTGTTTTGGCATGGACTATCTCTAGTGTTACCTAAGTTATGTACGCCTAACTTTTAAATGAGAAGTTATTTGGTTTTCTGGCAGAGTCGCATTAATTCGAGATTGCCATTAAGTTGAAAGTTTGTCAGCTTTAACTACGAAATCCTGTCTCCCCTCCCCCCCGTCCCCCCCGTAACTTGAATATAGGTCTGTTTTGAACTATTTTAAAAATCTAGAGTATGCTTTTTATGCAAGCTTGGCTTGGGGGACTTTGGTGTCATCAAACTGTTTAAAGGTCTTCCACCAATGGTGCCTCCTAGGATGGAAAACTGAGACACTTCCTTTAAAAGAGAACACTGGACACTTTTTTTGTTAGAAGCCTAACTTACTTTGGATTGGAATTTTTTTAAGGAGCTGCTAGGTAGAGAGTATATCAATTTGTTTACATCTAGTTTCTATCTGTCAATGCAATGCTTGTTCTATGAAAAGAATAAAACGTTAGATCCTGGCTAAATTAGTTGAACATGGTTCTCACTGAAATTGGGAGGATAAATTAGTCAAGACTTTCCTTACTTCCTACTCCTTTCAGTAGAAATTATGTTCAACTGGCTTGGTCTGGATCTGACCCAAAATCTTTAGTTAGTGTATAGTGCATACTTGGAATACAGAAAGAACCTCAACTTGCCAAATAAGTGCTAAGTACTAATTGCAAGTTCACAACTCTAGTTGCCCTTTACAGCATAATTCTACCTTGAATATAACAACCTCATTTTTGCATTGGATCACCTAAGGTCTGGAGATGTTCCTTTCAAAAGATGCAATGCAGAACAGTGCCTTTTGCTTGATATTTGGCTATCTGTTTAATTAGCAGTTGCGAGAACTTGAATCTCAAGTGTCTGTATATTTACAAGGCCAGAAGGGGACCATGAACACTGTCTGATTTGTACAATACAGCCTAAAAATTGTCACCAACCATTTTCTTTTCTTTTCAAATGGCAGTCATGGTAGATGAATGTACTGTAATGCAATAACCAGGCAGAAGAACTTGACAAATTTTAATTGGGAAGATCAATATCCAAAAAGGAAAATTGAGAACCCCTAGAATCCTGAGTAGCTTTTGATAATTAAAAAAAACTTGCTGGTAATCATATTGCAAGTTGTCCTTTACTAGCATGCATTGGAGTCATTGCAGGAATACACAAATATACACACAGGCACAGTATTTGAACTTGTCAAATCCTTCAAGTTTAACTAATGCACTCTTTGCTGTGCTTAAGGGTAGGAATGCTGACTGTACTGTGAGAACTGTTAAGTAGCTTTTTATAAGTTACAAAATTAACCTCAAGATATTTTGTTATAACTTATTTATAATGAGGGGCTAGTACATAGTTCCCTCCCCACCCCACCCCACACAGGACAATGGGTTAAAAATATCCATTTAATCTTGGCATATAAGCATGGATTTTGGCAGTGTGCATATGTAGGGAAACCACTGTCTCTAATCTTCTAAATGATGTTAGAAATTTCTGAATCTGAAATCTTGAATGTATTGGTTAAGGTACACATCTGTGCCTTTTCTGTAAATGTTTATTTAAGCAGGCAAAATGGTTGTAAATGTAGCAAAGTTCTAACAACTCAGTAACTTATCATTTTTTTGTGTGAACCAGTTTTAATTGTCATGTTTTGACTTGCTCTAAAATGATCAATAAATTTAATAAAACAAAGTCATTGTCTTGTGTTTTATCAACTTGTTTCACTTTGTTTTTGGTGGGTTGGTTTTTTTTTAAAAGAACTTGGATAAAATACTCAAATGAGTATTTAATATCAGACATTTATAACGTGGTAATTTTAACCATGTTCCTATGAAACTTGATTTTTAAAGAATCACTTCTAGCTGCTTGTAGGATATTCAGATATAATTCCAGCAAGGAGCAGAAATTCTAACTTACATGCTGCGTTGTCATAATATCATGGTTTCATGCTGTGGCGTAATATGCTAGGCTTACCAGTAGTTTGATCTTGTATTGCATTTCGTATCTTAAGAAATTACTGATTCGGATGCTAAGATAGTTTGGGGAGGAATTATTATGAAAGTCTGGGTGCTTCAGAAAGCGTTTGTTAAGCTGTGATTATTTACTCTCTTTAATGGAAGGGTTTACATCATGGATCTCTGTTGCGAAAGAGTAAGGCAAGTTTTGTTTTCATTTTTTTTTACACCAGGGCCACAGCCGTCTCTGGGAGTTAGTTTTGGAACGCCATTCGGTTCAGGTATTGGCACTGGCTTGCAATCAAGTGGCTTAGGGTCTTCAAGCCTTGGAGGTACACTTTAACTTTTTCTAATGTTTCACTGAATTACTACTATACAGCACTTCCTGAATTGGACTAGGCAGCACGCGTCACCCGTAGAACTAAATTCTTAAATGTCTTATGCTAAATAAGCAAGATCAAGCCCCGTAATCCACATGAATTGATACAAAAGCACCACCAGCCTCTGGTTCTGTACTCTCAACTTCCCCTTTTGGGTTAGAAAGTCTATTGCAATTGTAAGCACCCATTGAGAGAGTGGGACAAATCTACCTTTCTAGTCCTTATTTCCCTATTCTCAGCCAAGATGATTCATTTGCATTGCCATCTCCATCATGCACCCTTCCACCTAATCTGCCCTGATCTCTATGCTCATTTGGGCATCTGTTTGATAGTGTGAGATCACCAAGACTTTATCCTTCTTAGAATACATCAAGGCATCTCATCTAAACCACTTCTATTTAAACACACATTTTGTGGGATAGAAATGACTGGTTGCCTAAATGTATATTTAGGCTTCTGTTCTTTTGTGTTTGCACATAGATATGCTTCTATTATTTGACATGTGCCTTGATCGTAGGGAATAGAATGCATTTGGAACCTAAATTAGTGCACGGTTCACAAAAATATAATTTCACTGTTGTCGGTACCAGCTTTTTGGCCTATTCTGTTTATATGTTTTAGGATCTATTCTGGGAATTGGCTGGTACAGCACACACTTCATCCCCTGTTGCTGATACGCACAGAGAGGTGTTCCATTTTCCTTTATGCCTGAGCAACCATGAGGTTGATAGATCTCTGCGGATACTGTAGAATAGCCACAGCAAAACTCCATGTCAAGCATGTGTTGCTAAACTGGTGCATTGGCAAATTCCCTTGAAGAAATGACCCCTTTGCCATCTCCTGGTCTTTAAAGTCTGCACATATTCTGTGCGTGTAAATACAAGTTATTGTGTGAGTGTGTACAGAAAATCCATGGAGAAAAGGAGAATAAACCTAAAGCTGTCAGAAATGCAACAAGAAGCGCTGGTGAAGATACCCCACCATATAAAGTAGCTGAGATTAGCTGCAATAATAGACTAGCAAACCGAGAGGTGCAAAAAGCATTGTTAAAGGATATCAAATCTTTTTAAACTTGCATGAGCTGCAGCGTACTACTTTGCCATTTGTGTTAGGTTTCGGTCATGATTCTCCCTTCACCTCCTGTTTCCAGAAATGGAGGCGTAAGCACAGCTGTCTGTAGTTTCTGAGTATACATATTCCTGTTGCTCAGTAAACTACCAGCCCTATGTGGTGGGAGCAAGTGGAGTGTGAAACCGGCCTTCCTGAAGAGTTCTTGCCAGGTTATTGCTATTTCCAGCAATGGGAGATGCTCCACCCATTTATTGCCCTAAGTGGAAGTGTGGGAGTTGAGATGCAAGACTTCCTTTCCAGCCATGTTTGGGGAAGAAGGTGGGCGTTTTATTGCCTCCTTAGTAAGAAGGCTGATGTAATCTTATGCATGCTTGCTTGAAAGCAAGTCTGCTGATATCATAGCAGTATTCTGTTTTCTTTCAAGTAAATTCTATAATTGGGGGTAGAACCCTTGTCTCCCAAAGCAGAAAGTTGCCTCTCTACCACAATAATTGGAGGGAATCTTACTTGTTATTTACTCAACCTTGGGTTTGACAAGAATGCCAAACTACCTTCTGTGTCTGCCACCAAATGTCTAGTCCAACCCACTGCCTTCTGAAAACACATCCAGGTTTGACAAAGTTAGTCCTTTAACTTAATCAGTTGAACCTACTATGCATCTCGTTTCCCTAACTTCCCTAATCTATTAAGAGCAATTGAAGAATGTGTGTCTGCCTGCAGACTTTTCTATTTAATCAGACTTAATAATGAAGTCTTGTGCAGATAAACCCCTTTTTTAACCTTCCCATGGCAGTTCAATAACAATAGCTCCAATGCTTCAGAGTATATGTTGAAGGGACATTGCGGAAGGCCAATTCTTGAAAGCAACCTAGCCCTGTGTGTATCTTAACGTGTGTTCCCTGTCTTCACTATTGTTCCACTAGGGTTTGGAAGTAGCTCTGCTTTTGGAAGCAGTGGCACGGGTGCACCATCTTTTGGATTTGGAGCTACAAATAAGCCTTCAGGAAGCCTTAGTGCAGGTTTGTTGTGTTCTGAGTGTTAAGGTATTATAAGTTATCAATACCTAACGCATGGCATCCACCTTAGTCATTGCATTCAAATCTTCTGTTTGTGGAAATTATAGTGTTCAGAATGGTATTAGAAGCGCCCATCTGTGGAAAGATAATTTAGTAGATTAGAAGAGTGCTTTTCATTTCCTTCTCGCAAGCTCAGTAGTGCGAATCCATAGGCCCTTCCAAGGGAATTTTGGGCTTGCTTTTCTCAAACACTGTCTCCCTCAATGCTGCATAGCAAATCTTTCAAAAATGAGGAAAATTTGAACGGCATTGTAGGGTATGATACGATAGATTTGCTATTTAAAAGGAAGAAGTCATTTCAGCAGCTTTATAGAGACATGCTAGCTATAGATGCAGCCATCTATTGGTTGGAATGCAATTTCGCATACTAGCTTGTTTCAAAAGCGCCAATTGCTGCCAGCTCATTTATTGCTAACTAATCTAAACTAGTTATTTCTCCAAACCACTTGCACACCTCTCAGTGAAGCGTTGGCTTATGACAATTGTTTTATGCCTCTTAATTGTAGTTAGGCAGTAACTTTGTAAGTTTACTTTTGAGAAAAGCAAATCCTTATCTATTCTGGGTGCATGTGACTAGCTGTATGATGGTACATATTCTAGCCTTTGTCCATTAAAAGGACTTGAAGTATCTGCTGCACTTTTGGAGTTAAAAGTAAGAGTTGTACCTAATACGTTTCCCAAACTGGGTACCCCTTAGGGTGGGTAAGGTCAGGTTTTTGGATTATGTAGTCTTTACGTACAAACCACTTAAATACAAAAGTAGCCCTATTGGAATATGCTTAAGAACTTAACTGCACCTGCAGAATCAACTACCCTCACTATAGACTCTTCCTTCCTGCCCCACTGAATGGCTATCACCATCAACTCATGGTTGCAATATTAACTGTATTTCCAGCTTAATTATTAAATTCCTTGGATGGGTTTAATGTTAGGGTGGAATAGAAAACGCTTAACAAGTATTGACAATATGTGCAAGGAACTTTTTCTCATCAGGTAGCTTCATAGACTTGCTCCTCACTTCATGTTATTGATTTATTTACCGTTAGAATATTTCTAATTTGTCCTTCATTTAAAAGGCTTCCAGGGTGGTGTACAGAAGGGTGAATAAAATTAATTTTCACAACATACAAATAGAATTTCAAGCCAACCAATAAATGTAACGAAGTAAAACAAAGCTAAAAACAGAATACCACACAATTCCAAAAACCATTTAAAATGCCCTAGGCAAATGGGAAAGGCTTCGCTGAAAATCAGGTAATATCAGTGCCAAATGTTCCAGAGTGGCACTCTGACAACCTCCTTTGTGAAAGTATAACATACCTCTGCTAAAGATGGTACTATCCAGATTTAGTGTTTCTCTTAAGTATCTTAGTTTTTCAGGACATGCCAGGTCCTGTTTTCTGGACTCATCGGAAAGGAAGAGAGCTTCTCTTCATGGTAGAAGGGTTCTAATGTGCTGCTTCATTTAACACCTGGTTCTCTCTAGAAGCAGCACATAAGGCCTAAGGTTTATTAGTCCCAGTTACTGGGATAAGAAGGGCTTCTGTTTTTCGTTTTTCTAAATTGAGCTGTTGCCATTCCTTTTCTGTTGTCTGGTCAGATATACTTGTATATGCAGGTGATCCCAGTGTCTGGCTCAGGGGCACAATATGTAATTGGCTCTGCCCCCTGAGCTGCCAGTTTCCATTTGGCATGACCACCCCACCTGGCTCCAGCTGGTGTACCTGTCAGTTCTAGTGAAGAAAAGAAAAAAGTAGATCCCATAAGCCCTGGCGTCTGTCCATGCCTGGTTTAAAGAACCAGAACTTGCTTATGACCTGCCTGAAATTTATTCCACAGCTTCAGTACAGTAGATTGTCCCTAGCTGCCTTGGCTAGGAGACTGATGTGATCACAGCGTCTCTCACGTTCAAATATTTTCCCCTCCTCTACAAGGCTTTGGCAGTTCGAGCACATCTGGGTTTAACTTCAGCAATCCTGGCATCACGGCATCTGCTGGCCTGACTTTTGGGGTGTCCAACCCAGCCTCTGCAAGTTTTGGCACAGGAGGACAACTTCTCCAGCTGAAGAAACCCCCAGCTGGGAACAAGAGGGGGAAAAGATAAATGTGAAAAGGGGGGTGGGAGGGCTAGGGTCAGAGAAAAGGGACAACTCATTGGCATAAGTCATCCTGTGGGGAAATCTATTTTTTTAAGCTGATATATAGTAGGTGCTCTGTGTCCTTGGAGATTTATAACATTTTGCTACTTCTTCCCATTCTGGATTATAAAACGTAATTGTAACAAACAGCTATTTTTGGGGTGACTCAGAACTCGTGTAAGAATCCTTTTTTTTGTGTGGGGGGGGGGAATCATAGTTTTTAGATATGCACTTCATTATTAAGAAACTGTGTAAAACCATCTATTTAACCTAAGATTAGTAACAGGATATTTTTGTTAATATGCTTTAAACCATATAGAGAGATGCATATTTGGTTTCCTTGTACAGGTAAAGTATATTCTAGTACAAATGCTTGAGTCCATGTCTTCTGTTTCTTGATATGGCCTTTTAAAAAACATCAGGGTGGTTTTGTGAATATGTGTGTAAATATATACAGTATAAACGCACACTCAGATATGTATATGGGTACATACCATGCATTTCAGACCTTGTCTTGTAAGACAGAACGTTTTCAAGTTTGTGTTTTGGGTTCTTTCTCCCCTCCCATGTTGTGGCAGAGTATTGGAAAACCAGCTGTAACTAATGCATGTGAGACATTGTGGGCTGTTTTGTCTGTTTTCCATTTCTGTTTTGTTTCCATTCAGTGCTTTAAATGAACTGGATATTCAATGTAAACGTTCTCAGACTGGTTTGGTTCTCAGCTGTGGCGGTGTGTCTTTGCTGTACATTTGCTCAACTGCAGCCACGCGAACTACAGGGCTTCAGGTAGATTTTTGGAGAGCTGATGACTGATTAGTGCATTCTGAAACAGCCTTCACAAACAGCTCACACAAGCGGTGTGGTCTCGCGAGAAGAATACATGGGAGTGATACCACAGATGCTTCCCAAAGGATGCTTTGAGGATGCAGAAATGTCTGCCCATAAAAATCAGTGTGCTGCTCTCCCATGTTGGGCTGTTCACATGAGCAGGTCGTGTGCACGAGTGGTTTGCATAAGATGGGGCTGTTTTGGAACAGACGGGTCCACTTAAAGTTAGGGCTCACTTCCATCCTAGAGCAGACAGACTCTGCTTCTCTCATCATTCTGCATGAATTGATGCTTACAGGTAGCAGGCATGGTAAGAGGCTACGAAGGGTCAATCACAGCAGGACACTTGAGAGTAAACTACAATATTTGACACAATTACAATAGTGTTAGCCTTGCATTAGTTGAGCTGCATCTCCAGCTCAGTGAATGTTTTAAAACAGAAACAACAGGAACATTTATTGCCTTAAATGAGGGACTACAGTCATAGTCCTTGAACTGTGTTGCCAGCACAGACCCCATTCACTTCACTGGGGCTTGTGCTAGGCCATCTCTTTTGAGGGCCGGGCTGTAAATTAGCCCATCAGATCATTGCTCTGTGTGTGTGCGCGTGCGTGTGTTTGTGTACAGAATTTTTGTGAGGTCTAGCCTTTTTACACAAAGAATATTTTGTATATAACTCCAAGCAGATATTCGTAGTTCTCATCTAGGCACCTTTAAAAACAAAAAGATAAGTCGTGCACGTATGTATTCTCTGGTTTTGAAGTTGGTTGCTTTCAGGCATTACTATTTTTGTAAGTTCTGCCAGCGTTTTTTGTCTTCGTGCAACAGCAAGTCATCTGGCAAATGTGTGAGTCCTGAGTGTGATGCATTCAGAAGTAAGGGGAATAGCTTACTTAACACAAGTCTTTTCACCTTTATATATGAAGTATGGGCCGTTTTTCTTTTTCTTTTGGAAAGAGGAAGAAATTAAACTTGACAGAATTAAGGAAAACTTAAAAACAAATTTCAGGCCACAGTTCTGTTTTGAATTTGTATTTGGGCTCCAGCAAAAAAGATGTGCAAACTTGGATGTATGTTAACTGCTTTTTACAATATTAAAATGTTAAAATTTCTTTGTATATAATTTGTGAACCTATTTTTTTAACTGTGTTGTCTTTGTCCATATGTGCATCTTTTCTGTTCTACAAATAATAAAACGGATTGAAGTGTGATGTGTCAATAATACTTGCATTTATTTCTGGATGGTGTTTTCATTCCTCTTGGGCTGTGATCCCCCACACATGATATTGTGCTCAGTGGACTATCGGTGGTGCTGTTTCAAACAATATGTTTTCTGTTACATAAGAACAACCCTGAGCGTTTCCCAATATGCATTTGTATGGCCAGTGTAACATATGATCCAATCCAATCCCTGGATTTAACCAGCAGCAATTCCTTTCAGTTCAATTATTTTCTGTACCACCCTTCTGAGGACCATAGAGCAGTTCACAGTATTAAAAACACAAAATACATAACAGTAACAAAAACAATACACGCATCCCCAACAGTTTAAAAGGCCATAGATTGTTTAATTCACCAAAGGCCTGGTTATAGAACAACGTTTTTGCCTGGCGCCTAAAGGCATATAATGAAGACGCCGGCCGAACCTCCCTGGGGAGAGCATTCCACAAATGGGGAGCCACTGCAGAAAAGTCCCTGTTCTTGTGTTGCTGCCCTCCCAACCTCTCATGGGGGAGTCACATGAAGAAGGACCTCAGGTGATAAACACAGAGTCTGGGTCTGTTCATATGAGGAGAGGCAGTCCTTGAGGTATTGTGGTCCTGAGCCTTTAAAAGGCTTTATAAGCCTCAATCGCAATGGACAGAAAAATGAACCGTCGTCGTACTTGGAGTTGCTGGTGTCCTTTGTCCATTATATTCACGTCCACAGTTGTGTTGCTGAAAAACACTGGAACTGAGTGTGGCGAAAACACCCTGAGTCCTCCCTACACTTAGGAACATTTTACTGATTTGGCACTTGGGTTGGATAGATCCCAATTCAGCATTTAAATATTTTAAAATTTTGACTGACTCAGTACAATTCTATGCTTCATGTTACTTTTTTTAAAAAAATTACAGTATAGGGTTGGTATCAGGGATCTGTTAGTTTCTAAGGCATCTCACATCATATCTTACAACCTTTATTTTTTGTCTTCAGCTCAAAACCTGGATAGATGAATTAAAATACTGAATGATCCGTATCATTTGTTGTTTCAGCCACTGGCCATTACAAAAGATCATGAAAAAGTTACACTTGATATTGGACGTTTGGTAACTTTAATACCTTGGGTGATAGCTAATTCCCCCCTGAAATGGTTTACAACATATGATAAGGAAATGCGATGTCTATGTACTATTTCTATGTAGTTTGTGCAGGAATTCCATGTGGATTGTGTGCTTCAATGGGATACACACTGAACATATTCTCAACAAAGAATACATTAGCCCTTTACCCAGGACTCTTTGTTTTTTCTGCTGAGACACAGCTACCCCCAAAAAACTTTTATAATTTGTATCTAGATAAGTAAATCAAATGTTTGACTCTTTGTTTCTGTGGTGCTTACGTAGGAATGCCTAGTGGATCAGGTCCAGCTCCTAGTGCATCACCTGTTGCAATGGGAAATATACCAAAGATATTTACAACGGATTATGCATCAGGTAAATTTTGCAACCTTAACGTTGCCGCAGGGATCTTTGCTTTTGCTGCAACACCAAGCAACTCTGCATGGAATTGTTTCAATTTGGTATCAGGATAAGAAAAACAGGTGTTTGACTTTTATTTCTATGGTGCTTATGCAGGGGTTTCGAGTTCACCAGGTCTGACTCCTGCCGCATCGTGCACTTCAGTAGGATGTTCACCGAACCCATTCAAGATGAATACACTAGGTAAATTTGTTAGTCTGTGAGGTGCTGCAACGCTTTGGGTTTTTTTGCTGTAGCACAAACACCCCCACCCATAGAAATTGTTTACAATCAGATGTTTGTGTTCTATTTCTGTGTGGCACTTATGCAGGAATTCCAGGCCCAGCACCCAGTGGATCATGTACTTCAATAGGATCTGCACCAAACATACTCTTAATGAAGACTGTGCCAGGTTAGATAATTTATATGACATTTATGCTCTGGTTCTTACTATGCTTTTCAGCTCCGAGGTAACTCTGAATGGGTTTCCACTGTACAAAGTGTTTTACCGGTCTCGTGTGACTTTCCCCAGAGATAAGGAGATAGATGTCAGATTACAAAATATTAGCTTGCTGAAATCTGCTTGGCAAGCTGTGTAGATAACGGGGGTTTAGGCCTGCACTCATATCAGCCCCAGCAACTATGGCCAGTGGCGAGCAATGAGGGGAGTTGTAATTCAGCAACAACTGGAGGGCTAAATGCTCCCTGCACCTGAGATAACTTTTCTCTAGGTCTTTCCTAGCTAAAGACAACTCTTACCCTACCTGAAGACATGCATTGTCCAGCAAGAGTGGACCATAATCCACTGGTACAGAATACACTTTGTTTTCCCTCCCACCCAAAAGAGAAAAGTTTGGGCTCAATCCTTGCAACTCCAGCTAAAAGATTTGAGGTGGGATTATTCCCCCCACCCCCCAAACTTGCTGTCTGAGTCTTTGGTCAGGGAGGAAAGCACTGGATTATATGGAATCATACATTTTTTAGAGTGGAAAGGAACTCTGGGGTCCCCCCCCAAAAAAGCTCTGATCATTATATCCACCTTGCAACCTCAGCAGATGGCTGCCCTTCTTTAACTATCTAATGAAGGAGAACTCACCATCTTCTGAGGCAGTCCGTCAAACAGCTCTTATACATACCGTATTTTTTGCACCATAACACTCACTTTTTTCCTCCTAGAAAGTAAGGGGAAATGTCTGTGCGTGTTATGGAGGAAATGCCTATGGGTGGCATGCCTACAGATTTTCCTCCTCTAAAAACTATGTGCGTGTTATGGTCGGGTGCGTGTTATAGAGCGAAAAATATGGTACCTTAATCCTGCCACACATTATCATTACCACTAGGTGGCAATAAGTGCCTAGTAGTCCAGCCTCCCCAATATCAGTGGAAAGACTTTGGACCTCCTTGCTTTTCTGAACTGATACTACTACTACCAAAGATTTTCTACCCACCATGCAGAACTCCACACTCGGCTCCAATTCAGCAGGCACCTTCTGCTTTTAAGTGAAAATAAATACATTAGGAGCTCCAGCCACTGAATTCCCATACAATATAGGAAGCTGCCTCAATACTGAGTCAGACCATCTATCTCAATATCGTCTGCACTGACACCTGTTCTGCCCTATATATATGTAAAGCAGTATTTAAACAGTCATGACTTCCCCAAAAGAATCCTGGGACGTGTAGTTTGTTAAGGCCGCTGAGAGTTGTTAACAGACCCTTATTCCAAGACTAGTTTAACAATCAATCCCTCTCCACAGAGAACTCTGGGAATTGTAGCTCCGTGAGGAGAATGTGGGTCTTCCTAACAACTCTCAAAGAATAGTTGCTATTGTTTTGTTTTCTGTTTATTTGTGCTTTTATCTGTCTTGTGAATCACCTTGAGAACTTTGGATGAAAGGTGGTATATAAATTTAATAAATAATGAGAGATAATGCGTTCCGGCCTCTCTGGCCCTCAGGACACTCCCCAGGCCACGCCATTCACTGGTCCTGCTTCACCCCCTCCTTGAGTGTTTTTGCTTGGCTGAAATGTGTTATTGACATCTGATAATGCCTCTTTATTGCCCTAACGGAGGGTACAGAGGAGTGGTGTGTGTGTGTGTGTGTGTGTTTGTGTAGAGCTGGCCTGCTGTAAAAAAAGAAAAGGAAAAAAAGAGTGAGATTTACATGAATTGCTCCTCCCACTTTTGTCTCTAGCCACACCCACCACTGGCATGTGATTCCTGGATGTTTGCTTTTGGAAGGGAAGGTGGCCTAATGCATGAAAATTATTCCCGATCTCCTGGCCTAAATTGTTTTTTCTCTTTACCTCAGGCATCATTAAGCGGCGTTCACCAGTAGCACTTAGCACCATCCTAGAAAATGGGGAGGTTACAGCAACGAAATTAAACTAAGGTGCATAGAATTAATCTCCTGGACAAGAAATGTTCATTCTCTCTCTCCCCGCCCCCCCATGCCTTGATCCTAATACAGCACTGATACCAAGACCAGACTTTGTACCTGTCGCTTTTTCTCAAGAGTTATTACAAAGGTGACCTAGGCTTCTTGATCTGTGATTACATCCCTAACAAAGCTTAAAATGAAGGTAGGGTTGCCAATAACTTATTGGTACGCTCCTGTGCCTTTAGCAGCAGCTGGTTCTGCAGCAATGGATATCTCTGTGTTATGGGAAGCTTTGCCTGCTAATTCCTGCATCTCAAAAAGCTGTTAAAAGCATAGCTACAGAGGCAGTTTGAAAAGCTGGCAGTCCAGAACAAAGTCACATGTTGAGCATTTATGTGCAGGCTGTATCCTAGGAAAGAAAGGATAGAGTTATTTGCCTTATCCTGAAAACCCAGAGCAACTGGGTTGCTTTGTGGTAGAACTGCAAGCATTCTCAGAATAACATGGTTGCCTGAACCCACTTTCTAACTCAAGGCCCACTGAGGTAGCATAGATTTCCTTGGTGTGTGAATTGACCGTTTCACATGACAAATATTTTTCCATCAATGAGTTTTATTTTTTCCACATTCCAGGCAAGTAGGGCGGGGGGACCTTGGGCCAAATGTGGCCCTCCAAGAATATCTGGCTCTCATGACTCTCCCCAGGTCACCCTTCCACAGCTACACCTTCCTCCAGCATTTTTGCCTGACAGGAATGTATTTTTGATTCTTACTTGCCTGGATATAGGCTAGGGAGGGTTATGTGAGTGTGTGGCCTACTATCCAGAGGTAAAATTTGCATTTGTTGCTCCGCCCACTTTTGCCTTTGGCCTTGTTCGCCACTATCATGTGACCTCTGGAAGGTTGGACTGAAAAAAGTTCCCCAACTCTGACATACACCCGTAATTCATTATTATAAATGTATGAAGATATGTAATTAATCATGTTCTGCACAATGCATCCATAGTTACAGCTTCTTTTTTACATTGGTTCCAGTGCAATAATAACCGCATACAACTTTTCCTTAAAATTGTATCCTTCCCTCCTGTAATTGTATTTCATAATCTTGATAAACACATGACAAATCTCCATACTACTGCTGGATGCTGCAGGCTGAGGCATGGAAATTATTTGTGTAACTTGGTGAGCCAGATGGCAACTTGCTTTGCATGACCTGGGAAACTGTGCTGAACCTTTGGGTGGCAGTTCTACCCATTTGGACTGACCACCATGGTTTATTAAATGAACAAAGGGAAACAGTTTCTGCAGCTGAAGAGACAAGACCACTATTCATCTTTAAAAGTGCCCTGCCTCTTCTGCATTGCTGCTGTAGCAAAACAAAAAGCAACTCCTTCCTTTGGATCTCAGCTTCTTTCTATAATGAAATAGAACCCTAGGTCCATGACTTTCCTTTCTGAAACATTTGTGGCTTTTAAACCATGGCTTTATTTTAATAATTGCACTTGACATAAAATATTCGAACAGGCTAAAGGCTGGATTAAAATTCTATGGTGTTGATTTCAAACGTTAAGGCACTCTCGAAATTAATTTTAAATTGCAGCTGGGTTCATGTTAGTTTAACTCATAGCCCCATCCTGCATCTCGTATGTGGAGACACAGATGACCTCATTTCCAAGTGCCCTCAATTTTACACCTTCCACAAGCTCTGTGGCTGCTAAATAAAACAAGACCAAGGTCTTCTCTCCCCTCCACCCCAATTTTCAAATACATCTGCAATGGGGAAAGCAGCATGAGCTCTGCCATTGTGTGTTTATATGTATGTGTGTGTCATTCTCCGTGTGTGTGTGTATATATATAAACATACACAAAGTACATGCACCATTGCCAAGGTTGTGTGTGCGCGCATGTGTATTCATGAAATTAATTAGTATTTTATATGAAAAGTCTCTCCTGCACTCATCCTCTCAACTGTGCTAGGTGTAACTTGTTGTTACCATTAACTAACGAGTTAACACACTTATAATACCCCAGCATTCTTTCTTAAAAGTAAACCAGTGAACTAAATGGACCAAACACAGACAAAGAAACCCATTTTTGAAAAAGCAGTTAACTCATAAACATAACCAAACCCCTCAAGCTTATATTTGGTTATAGACATAATACAGTGGTACCTCAGGTTACAGACGCTTCAGGTTACAGACTCCGCTAACCCAGAAATAGTACCTCAGGTTAAGAACTTTGCTTCAGGATGAGAACAGAAATCGTGCGGCGGCAGCAAGAGGCCCCATTAGCTAAAGTGGTACCTCAGGTTAAGAACAGTTTCAGGTTAAGAACGGACCTCCAGAACGAATTAAGTTCTTAACCCGAGGTACCACTGTACCAAGATGGTATTGTTGGGAGGCTGATTCTATCTCCTCTGACGTATAACATTGATCTGGGCAGGCTGAATGTCAGGGCCCAACAGTTAACTTCCACGGTCCTAGGACCCCAACAGACCAACCAACACTGGCATCTGCCCTGGGACCTCCATGCCAGCTGGTTATAAGCCACCATTTTAAATTTCCGACACTGCCCACCAGGCATCCGGCATAGGGGTACTCCCTGCTCTGCCTCTCCCGGACCTCGCTTGGGTTTGGGTGGAGAAGCAGGGAACTGGAGGGGGCAGGAAGGTCAACCTGCCTGGCCCAGCCTCATCCCCCTGATGCTCGCTTGGTCCACCTCACTCTGCCTGCCTCCTACCACTGCCTGTCCACACGCTGGAGGTGGGGGGAGTCACCAACTTCCAAGCTTCCCTATAGCTGGAGTCACTTTGCACACACACTCTGTCTCCGGTGTGGTGTAGTGGTTAAGAGCGGTGGACTCGTAATCTGGGGAACCGGGTTCGCTTCCCCGCTCCTCCACATGCAGCTGCTGTGTGACCTTGGGCTAGTCACACTTCTCTGAAGTCTCTCAGCCCCACTCACCTCACAGAGTGTTTGTTGTGGGGGAGGAAGGGAAAGGAGAATGTTAGCCGCTTGGAGACTCCTTTGGGTAGTGATGAAGCGGGATATCAAATCCAAACTCCTCTTCTTCTCCATGTGCCCTTCCTGTTAAAGTGGGGTGGTTCCCCGTTTTATGCTATTTCACTTATGCACGTGGGGGCTTGGAACATAACCGCCGCATAAGTGGGGTATGAGGAGCCTGTATATCCCTATGTTATTTATTTCCTTTGTGGCTGAGCGTTCCAGCCTTTGCTATTGGAGGCCACATGATTCAAAAGCAGTTTAGAGTGATGGTTACTGCAGAAATTGTTAGAGAAAAGGCTGGGTTTTACAAGAGAGGGAAGGAAGGTAGCTACGTTGTCATTTTACACTGCAATCCTGGTAAGCCTATTTACGCAGAAGTAAATCCCGCTATGTTCAATCGGGCTTACTCCCACGTAAGTGCAGCCACACAGTGCAAGCTACAAAATATGTCTATACCCCGGCACACGGAGTGTTATTGTGCGAAATGATTACACAGAGTTATTCCCAAGATTGTTGCCTTCATTTCTTAGCCCTCCTAAGGAATAGCAACGGAAAGGAGTCAAGAAAGAAAACGCATTTTTATTGAGATGTAAATTACGTTTTAGCTCTGTGTATTATTCAAATCTGTTGCTGAGGAAGAAAGGAATATTTACCCGTCTTGGGTTGCTGCTGACTAAGGAAACAGGAGCAGGGGGAGGGAAATCACTCAAACATAAATATTTTATAGAGACACTCTCCAATATTTCTATTGTTAGTGCTGCTCCCATCATCTATTATATACCTTTTGCAATGGACATTCAGGGTGCTTCCAGACGGCCGCTATTCTGGGGTGGGATTCAGTCACATCTTAGCAAATTAAGGCTAAGTTGATGGAGAGGTCTTGCACAACAAACCTCTTCCCCAAATATTGCCCCCCCCCCGGCAATAATTGCTGGGTAAATCTGCTGGATAGTGTGGGGTAGCATTTGCCTTGACACAGCATCATCTAATCTCCCCACAAACAAGATGTTGTTTAGTAGTGTCCAACTCTTCGTGACCCGGACAATCTCATATAATAACAAATCAAGATGGATGCTCAACAAGGAGGTTGTCTGGAAGAGACTCCAGGGTGCTCCAAGACATGTATCATATTTATTGTGAGATGAGGATTCCTCATGCATGCGAGGTTTTTGCAGCAAACACAGGATGTTGTTCACATCAGATGCCAGCCCATATGCTCCCCACCAATGTTGGTTATGACCTGCTTTTGATATCTTACAGTCTGCATATGCTAAATTGAAGCAACGTATGGAAGCCACAATAAGCATTAAGGCATACAAGTGAAAACTAGGAGTCGTTCCCAACATTTCTTGTAGTCAAGGATGAAGACTTTTGTGGCCCTCCAGATGGTTTTGAACTTCAACTCCCATCAGTCCTAGCTAACATGATCAATGGTTATGGATGATGGGAGCTGTAGTCAAGTAATGTTTGAAGCGACACAGGCTACTCATGGCTGTTCTATATCCAGTTATAAACGTAAGCATTTTCTAGCCTTGTGGCTGGAAATCCAAACCAGGGTACACTAGTTCACTCTCTCTCTTACAGAAGGGATGGGGAACCTGTGGCCCTCCAGATGTTACTGGACTACAACTCCCATCATCCCTGGCCATTGGCCATGCTGGCTGGGATTGATGAGAGTTTTTCTTTTTTATCTACATAGCAGACTAGTGAGAACAACAAAAAAAGCAAATGAAAGGAAAATAAAAAGTATAGTTTGGTGCAGCAAGAGAATAGCCACGTGAACAGAAAATGCTCAGAATTAATAATAATCCTACAAAAGCAAATACAACTTGATTTGGAGCCAGTCCAAGAAGCCAAATCACAGGAGCATTTTCCTAATCAAGCTATGGAAATAATTTTGCTCATATCTTTATATTTTACAACAGGAGTGAGGAACCTTTGGCTTGCCAGATGCTGCTGAACTACAACTCCCATCAGCCCTACCAAGCATGGCCAATGGCAAGGGCT